GTAAGAAAGAAAAAGCTGAGAATTGTTGGGTTCTTTGCATCATTACCTTTTCTGACATATCTTTGTAATAAAAGACCAAAGCCATCAATACGCTGTGTTCAATTGTAGAGAAAAATAGCACAGATAGTGCTGGTGTTGAGTAAATAAAATAATCGCTCTATTGACGGCATGTTTGTTTTTTGCAATCCTTGTGCGCGCGCTGAATTGCATCAGTAAAAGCGCGCGCGAAACTGTGTTCGGCCACCTTAATTAAAAACAACTGCAATTGGACAACGGCAAACTCCAAAGTACCTTATATCCCTTCTCCAAAAATGCAATTTAAAACTGAGATAAACTCTTGCTACCTAATAAACAGGACGTAGATAACGACACAAACCTTTAAATATCTGAAGATGTGGTTGTGTTGATCAGAATGACAAAATAGTACAGGAGAAAATGTATTTGTGGCATGTATAATGAACTTAAATCGCAGATTGCACTTCTCAAATAAGATTTTTGGAGATACCTTGTCCAAAGTTGTCCCGGGATTTGCCCCGATTCTATATCTTAGTAGCGAGTTACTTTGTGGATAAAGTGCCTCTTGACCAAGAATGCGACATAATATTTGACACCACCTAGGGCTTGAACCCGAACCACTCGATCTGGAGTCGATGTTGCCCAGTGCACCACCCGTAAGGACACTGTGTCTTCCTAAGGTAAAGTTGCATCACTCCATTTTACTCAGTCAACTTTTTTTGCAGCACAAAATCTTGACAAACTCGACACGAAACGCTCGGTTCATGACTCCATATATGAAAACGTTTATGGCACTACTGGTTGCCCCAAAGTACGTACTTATAAGATACACTTGCCTTGACACAGCCCACACACCAATGAATCGAATGCATTCCACGGCCATAACAGGACCCCAACACAGACAAAAGCCAAGAGATACCGTGAAAAGCAACTGTGCTAGTCTTATTTCCTCAGCGTTATTGTTAAGCCTCCTCTCGGTTGAAACTCGAAAGCGTTGTTGTCTAATGGCTTTGAATACTTTATGGTACAGGATGATTACAACCGCCATGGGAGCTGGGATGTTAATTGTGAGTGTTGTGGTAAAAAGGACAATCGATGCTGGCGTAAACGACGGGGAACTGTAACAAATTACGGTGCCAGGATGAAAAACGAAAGTTGAAATCCCCAAAATAAACGGAAGGGCGCTGCAGATTAGAGCCCAGGCCCATATAAGAAGAACGGTCGTGACAGTCAGCTTTGAGGTGTAGAGGTTAGGATAAAGATGAAAATGAACCGCCCGAATGTATCTGTTACACGCTGTTAGCGCCATTGTGTGCAAAGAAGCGATGCTAAAAGCGAAGACACAATAGCCTTGTAGACGACAGGTCCAGTCACCGAAAGGCCATCTGCCCGCTATTAACGATCCAACTGAAAATGGCAGGGAAAATACTGATGTCAGCAAATCTGTCAGCGCTAGAGAGATGATGTAATAGTTAGGAATTATCCGCAGCCTGGAATTTCTGTAAAATGCAAGGCAGACCAAGGCATTACCGACAAACGCCACACAATTGATAATCAGAAGAAACAGCGACTCGACGACTACGAGTGAAACAGGTCTGGACTTCAATTCAGCAGCTAGGTCATCTTGGGAAGCTGCCACTGGGTTGAACGACATTGAAATGTTGCTTGAGGCATTTGATAAGCTTGAGCCCGCCAACGCCATTTTCAAAATGCATATTATAGCAATTTAACCATATGATCAAGTCTTGTTTCACCTGGAGTCGCAGGATTGTGATAGATCAATGCTATACAATGAAGGGCGAAGATCCAATGCGTAGCCTTAAGCTTATAGCTTTCAGAGCTGTGACCACTTGGGATTCGAGTACTTGGTGGACGGAAAATGACTTTCATAAGCGCACACCTCACTGTAAGAAAAACAAGACAGCTTTAATTAAACTGGGAAATCCTCAAGGGCGTCTAGTGCAGCGGAAGACCGCTTGTTTCCTATTGGCGGACAAGGCAGATGGCTGATTAGCTCATGTCATTAGCATTCTGCTTTGCAATAATACAGGAAGTTATAGCATTAAAATTCTGATTTTGTTTTGTGATACTGAAAATATTGCACGCAGATTGATTTCTGCAGGATCTTTGAATTTCAAGGTCTGTTGTTTTCCACATTTTAGCCTTCATCAGTCTCCGTCAATTGTTATTGATTTTGATGTGTAGTCAGTGCATATCTTTTTAACTCAAGTTAAAAAAAACTCGGCGTGAACGACGCATCTATCAAACTACACTTACTATCGAATTTGGCGTCAAAACTTTTTTGTGGCATTTATCAGTTTTTCGAATTTAAAACCAAATAAGGGCGGGCGTGTTTTCAACTTTTTGAAAATGGTAATGATTTAGTTATTCATTTTCTTTACAACTGAAGCAGTTTAATTGCCCTAACTAACGCAACGAAAAAAGGATGCTTAAAAAAAGCTATACCAAAAAAAACGCTATGAAATTCACTAAGTATGCCTGGCCGGCTAATTAGCCATGGTAATGAGTGCTTCCATGTATTTGAATTTTTAGGCAAGTAATTTATCTTGTGTGAGAGGATGGTGTGAATATCACGTTTTTGGATAACTCGCGGTATTCACCTTACAAACTGTCAAATAACTAGCCCAGTTTCAAGTACGTTTGAGGATACAATCAATATGTACTCAATCTAATGAAGTGAAAAGTGTTGGAGTATATTCTGGTGACAAGGATGGAAGTGGTTTCCATAGTAACAAAGACCGAGGTTGACGTCAATGATTCAGTGATTGACCGAGTCATGGTTTCTAAACATGAGCAATTGTTCCAAGCGAATGCCAATAAGATCACTTCAGTTTCCAATTTTCTTCCAAAGACTAGAGTAAGCCGCGGAAGGGTAAGCGGATGTTTATAGTAATTGCTTCTTAGCGCCATTTATAGACCCGGCTATTTAATTACTACTCTGAACAGCATGAATTCCGATTCTTAGCAAAAGCGAGACTTTTCTTTTAAACATTTAAACATAATGTGAAAGATTTCCTGCAAGTTTTTCTGCAATTAGTAACCCAAAAGGTGATAAGCTATATTGCTGTCAGATTATGCACAGGCCGCGCATTTTTTACGAAGTTTGAGCACGTTTCGAATTTCTCTTTCACCATGGCCAGCAACCATGTCGCTTGTTGGCGCTGTATTTCACCCAAATGAAATCTATTGTTTATGATTTGAATTTTCCTAAGATTTTACCCACGTTTGTCCCATAAATTCATTGTACTCAGCTGAGATAAAAGATTAATTGCCCTGGAGCTTACTATCGTGCACAAATATGGCGATTCAAAGGCTACCGCTCTTTGATAGAAATAGCCCTGGCAGTCTTACTGATCAGCCTCAAAAATACGCCAATTAATATATTTGACTTTTTATAAATGTTTTCTAGTTTTCATATTTTTATTTTTTTTTTTTAATTTTTTATTTAAAAAAAAAAAGAAATAAGGCGAAAATTGCTGTCGTGTAAACCGCATATGTCCTTCCAACAGAAAGAATTTCCTGTCAACTTCGGTAATTAGATGATCAGGTTACCTTTCACATTATTTGATCATAACTAAATTTCTCTTCATTTTCTTAAGTTTTATCTCGCACTGTGAAAAAAAAAAAAAACTGTACTAAAATAGTGGATTCAGGTCCAGTTAGCTTGATGCCCCGCTGACAATGATTCATCGCTATCTTCATTTATTTAATTTCCATATCAGTGTAGACATTAATTTGATGATTCTTAATCTAAAACACAAAAGATGAACAGTCCCTTGCACCGTAGACGTGCATGGAGTCATTCCAAGAAGCAAAACACAATAAGTCAATGTCTTTACTTGATTTTGCACGAGGATCAGTGAGACAAATTTCAAAGAATGCTTAATATAATACATAATGTTTCGTTCTCAAGACATTACACATACTTAGAGCGAAACGATTTCACAAGAAATATACTATTTTAGTTGAATAGATTAGCATAAAATGATATGATAATGTGAATGAGATGAATCATTCATGTGAACTGTGAGTTAAAGACCTAAAATAAAGAGGTCTTATGTATTCCTTTGTGGAGACTGCAAAGAACACAATGAAGAAAACAGTAAAATTTTAAAAAAAGCATGAATACGAAATCAGGTGACTATAGGTGCAATAAAGCTCAATCTACCTCCAAGCTTGAGGAATTTGCTCGGAAGCTGCTGTATATATTACAGGAAGGGAAATAGAAATTATAGAAAACGAACTTCTTTACGAGCATAAGTAATTATTAGAGCAAAGGAAGTGTTATAAAGCAGTCGGTAGCTTTCATCTTTTCCGGCCATCCAAGGGAAATGGCTTTCATTTGGCTTGCATGATCAGTATGTCGTACATGGTATATATATACGGACACATTTACCTAAACGTCCTGGATCGGTGTATAGCATATGCTTGGGCTTTTTAAAATCGACAGGCGAGCGTTATCTAATGCCTCAACTTGTTAAAGAAATACCTTCTTTTCATGCTACGTTTGATTCTTTCCACGGTGGCCTGTTGAATGTGAGTCACTGGAGGAAAAATGAAGAGATTGATGAATTATTCTGATTCACCTACTACGTTCTACTCCTTTGAGTGCCGGCCCAAACTGATGATCGATTCCAGAACCCGCGATCACATTGTGTGATGTACTCAGATCGAGGCTGAATGGGTCCCAGAATTCGAACGGACGTGAAGCTCATCTCTGCTGACGTAATAGTTTACAGCTAGATATGTATTTGAAAAGTAGAAAGAGATTGCAAACTGTAATTATCTCGTTAATCACGTTTTAAAAAGAGACGGTTGAACAACTGATAGGCAAACAAAGGATCCGCTTGCTACACAGCTATAAATAAGTCTGCCGGTTCCATTAACGTTTTTCAAAGAAAATATCTTGGTTTGTATATCATTAGAGAGACTTAGAGTGTATATACAAGTCCGCGACTCGTACGATTCGTACGAGACGTACGGGTGGTGAAACAATGGTTTACGAGTCGTACAGTTGGTGAACTGTTTGTCATTAGAAGGACTTGGAGTGTATACACTCCAAGATAATTTGGTTTTATCAACTGGGTTGGTAATGCGAATTGGCCACCGTAAAGAGATTCGAAAGCTGACGTTTTAAGCGTTAGCCCTTCATCGGAGCGAATCGAGGAATTGTGGGTTGTGTGTGGTTTATATACAGAAAGATGGAGCTACGCTATTGGTTGGTACATGGTAACGTGAGAAACAGACAGAATAAATTAGTTGAATGAAAAGCGTTCGTTGATACCGTGAGGATTACGAGCGCCGATTTGAAAAATAAATTTTTGTTCTAGAGTTTTGCGGCTTTCCGTGCTTCCTTGATGTAGGGAAAGGCCGCAGACTGCCATTTGTTGTTCAGAATGATTGGGGAGACTAGAGTGTCTCGCGACCCGTTTAGATGCGTTTTCGTCGTCTTTCTCTACGTCATGAAGGTGTAACCAAATTATTAATTTTTCTTGTTTACAAAAGCTTTTTAGTACTTTTGTTTTGTGTAGTTTGGCATTATTCAAACTCAAAACAGAAGGACAAACAATATAAACAGAAAACCTTCCCTCAAAGTTACAAAACTCAAATCAAAATCCTCACTTATCCTGGTTTAGCTTAATCGAGCTTTGAACAACCCGGCCCAGGAGGTCCGCTTTTAGGCTTGGCTAAATCTATATATTTAAAATAATTTCATGAATATGTTGCATGCGAGATGAGGAGATGATAAGAAAGGAAATAAAATAATCAAGTGTCTATTTATGGGGGAGGGCTGGGATTGATTCGCCAATCAAGGCACTCGTTCCCAGGTTCCCTTCAAACATTTCATTTTGCTTTCAAAACAAACGCACACGAATGGATGTCAATTGATTCACCCTCAAGGGCATCTTTTGCGGAAAAGTAGACTGATGAAAAATTGGTAAAGCCAAATAGACTAACAGATTTTCTAAATTTCATTTGTAGTCGTTATTTCCATTACAAACAGCGTTTATTTGAAGGCCAGCTGAACTCCAGTTTAAAAGTCACGCTATTTTTTGTCAACGAGAAACTGAAGAACGTGCTAGAAATTAAACAATAAGACATAATCTGGGCGTTGTACGTGGCTGTGGATTAACTAATCAACTAATTAGGATTCAAAAAGCTGCCAAGCTCGAAATCTGCATAAAGAAATGGCCTGCTGTTCTGACGGCCTCAGAAGGTCAACAATCCAACATTTTCCACTGTCCAGCACAAAGGAAGTATGTTTCAACTGCTTCTGGGAATCGTGATTTTATTTCATCTCGTGTCCACCTCCACATCAGGTTAGCAAACGATTTAAACTGCAAAATTTCATATGTATCGCTTCATATTGGCCGTTGTATTGTGTAGCAACTCGCGAGATAGACAGTTGAATTGCCAACTATCTATAAAGTAAAACGTGCAAAGTTTCGTTTATATCCCCTAAGAAATCTCAGTTGTTTGAGTTTAGTGAGAGTTACTTAAATAACGAAGCACTAAGAATTTCAAACCCTTAGAACAACCAGGGATTCTTCGATTATTATTTTTTTAAGCCAACGATTATGTTTAACATATCAGTGACCATTATGACAACACTCCTTGTCTGTTTGTCGCGGTGACTGCGTTCGAATAAAGAGTGCCGTTATCTGAACACAAAACGAGTACATACAATTAGTGTGCATTGGCGACATGGGTTTAAGTTAAAAGACTGAAAGTGTTGCAAAACACATCGAATATTTAAATCAAAACAATAGTTTGAACGACTCCAAAATAACTGCGTGGATCACTCTTTTTATTATTAATAGCTGTGCTCGAAGCTATCGAGATTTTCGCACCCTAGCGTGATGCAAAGCCTCATTACAGTGAAGCCCCTTGAAAAATAGCTACATACACCGCTTTCCACTTGGCATACATACAAAACTCGGACAGATGTTACGATTTCCTGTAGCATTTTTGATAGCTGAACGAATATTTGTCACTGATCCACGACTTATATAATTAAGACATAAATTTGGCACAGCCCAGTATTCTGTCTGTTTGGCTGTCTGGCATAATGTATTTCACAGAGTTCATTCGCCATTTTCAATAGAGGACCATAGAGGAGTGTTGTTGTACTTATTGCAATAAAACTATTCGGAAATAGGAACGAAGATGATATGTTGGTTGACCTTGGATGTCTGAAGAACGGAAGCATTTTTTAAGCTCATTTCGTCACCCAATTCACTTCTCGCTATCAACAATAAATCGTGCGTTTAGGATCAAGAATCTGACCTGAGTTATAACAGTTCTCCTCGGTTAATTACGAAAAGTAGTTTGTTTAAAATGTGTGAAAATTCCAAACACTCCCCTATGCAAAAAGCATCTTCAACAAAGCTTTTGTTTGTCATTTTGTCAGTAACATTATTTACCTTGAAGCGAGATGTAACACAGAGAGTGCTTTATGGCATTGTGTACTTTGTTTGCCGTTGATTTTTTTATGTACATATACCTTGTGTGAGCATTGGAAGAATGTTTTACTTGAAATATTTACAATTTTTCTATTGCAACAATAGGAATATTCACATGGAAGAAGGGTTCCAACAAATTAACATAACTTTAGTACGTGGCGACGAGTTGAAGTCAAGATCAGGCCTGACCTGGTGTCTTATAATGCTTATTCACTGATCGACTTTGTAAAGCACCTTGGCCAAAGAACGTCATATGAAAAACTGACTCCTGTAAAGGATGTTTGCAATATTATTAAATCGAACAAAGATTAATTATTAATAAACGATTGACACTTCAAAATAGTTTTATTGGGGGAGGGGATGGGATACGGCTGTTGACGCTCTCGTGTGCGTAATATGAATTTCACCATATATATCCAGTATTTTACATTTCAAAATAATTTTTTATTATCTTGAGGACGAAGGCCGATATTCTCCGCTTTGGTTCGATAAAGCTTAGTTCGTAATCAGTGATTTATTACAGAAGAAAGTTCACCTGGTCTAGTTCTAAGAGAATATTGGACCAACCTAAAGAGTTCTGATTGGATGAAGGACCCTTTACCTGAGGCCCGTCTTAGACGTGTAATTAATATTATTACCTTTTTGTTTGGGTTCAGTACTACGTTTAAAATGACAAAACTTTACAAGAGTATTCCTGGGCTTGAAGTAAACATGGCTACATGTTTACTTCAAGCCACGCTTTTGGCTACAAAAATGATTAGATTTTCGATGTTTCTCGTTACAAATTAAGCTACCTGTGCTCAATTCTAATTCCATGTCATCAAATATTGATTAGATGTCTCTTGCGTATGGAGCTGCTGTGCGTAACAGAATTACGCTAGCTAATAAATCAATGTAAACTCATAATGCTTTAACAAAGGCACTCAACATTCGAACATTTACAATAAATATCACACCACTGGTGTAAACTTCTGAGAAGTTTCTTCTTCAAACACGAAAGTAAAATGTCACACATCAATGATCCAGCAAAATTTTGTTTGACTTTGATTTCTTACGAGGCAATTACCTCCCCACCATGTGGCAAAGACCTCATCAAAGATAAGATAAACACGACCGATCTCTACGTGTGAAAACATTACATCTAAGGTTAATTCTGACAAGACGATTAACCTGTCAAGAAACCAATCACGCGGTGTAAATGATAAATTGTCGTCTTAAACGGCGGCTGGTTTTAGCATGTCTGAAAAAGAACTTGTTTCCACTGAAATCTACTGAATTCAGAGCGTTAAAAGATGGCGACCTCAAAAGCGAACAGAGATACCTCAGTTAAAATTCAACCTGTAAGATATCCGACAAAATTCCAAATTTTCAGGCTTTTCCTTCTATAGAAATAAACTGTAAATATTTCATTTCCGACAAGAGAAAATGAGAAAATCCCTCATTTTCTCAGTCTTGATTTCCGATTATCAGGCGTCGTACAAAACGTGTATGCCATGACGCCTTTAATTTATAGTTCAGGCTACTTATTTCATGGGGATAGTTTCATGATTTAAGCCGTTTTCTTCACGAACGTTTTCTCTGCTAGTTTTCTTTGTTTGTGTGTTTGTTGTTTTGTTGTTGCTGATGTTTCTGGAGTGAAGTGAAAAAAGTTTCAGTCAGTACATGTCAACATCTCTTCCAGATCTTGATCCATGCGTTTCATACAAAGAACTACGAGATTCCAACCGCTCTCAATTCCACAGCATATCTGGCTTAGACCTCGTTCAGTGCGACAAAAAATTAGTTCTGGACTGGTATAGATTTAAAGGAGGAGCTGGACTAAAAATGCCGGATTCGTGCGTCAAATCTGGCCACTGCGGTACGCATTCCCCGGGTTGGTTCCAAGGGTCCCATCCGACGAAGGTTGGTGATATTTCCATCGGGAGAATTTGCTTCAATTTTATGGGCTCGTGTTGTCAGTGGTACACGGCTACTAAGGTGAAAAAGTGCAGTGGTTTTTACGTCTATCAACTACCTTCAACCCCTTACTGTGATCTTCAGTACTGTGGGGATGGTGCTACAGGTGGGAATATCTTACTTGGATGTACAATAATTATAATAGAGCAGTTTTTCCCTTAAGTGACGAAAGTAATTGGCATTTGCCTTGTTTTTGCCTCACCACGTTACACGATTGGTTTAATAATGTCGCGCCCCTTTGTCATCCAATCAGAAGTAAAACCAAAACCATTAATGACTCGCTCGCGCATGTTATCCTGCGCCTCGCATCAGTAACCTGTATTTACTTCGAGTTTTGATTGGTCCATGTGATTACCTGCATCCTTTGTGATTGGCCAGAGTGATTACTTTGGTTTTGATTTGAAAACTGCTCGAAGTAAATACTTTCATGTTGGTCTTTCATAGCAGCTTAGACTGCTGTTATGACTGCATTAAGTCCCAAGCGTCTCCCCACCTTCCCCGAAGCCCGTCACAACAAAATGAACAAAGTACCCTGGATAAACTGTAAGTTGTGACTGGTGACAGAATTAGTGTGTTCGTACCAGCCATACATGGGTTTCCAGGTTACCTCGTTTGCCCAACGAAGTGGAGGGCTTCTGAAACAAATTACCGGGGTTATCATTATGCCTTTTATGGGTTACTATTCATGGCTTGGCAGCCCTTCGGGTGCCTGAAATCAACACCTTTGCAATTTTACCCCCCACCCCTCCACAAAAAAACCCGCCAGAAATCGCCCCGTTGTTTGAATTGATACCGAGAAAAAATAAAACCTACCGCACCCACAAATTGCATGAATTCCACCCCTGTTCCGCTTCTTCCGCACCTAATTTTTACCCATCTCTCAAACTTTTTCTATGACTAGATCTTGATTGTGCAGCTGATAACAACAACGTTACTATTAATGGATCGAACCCAGGCTCCTTGTCAAGTCCAGATTTTCCCCGCCAGTATCCCAACAACCTTCAGTGCACTTGGCGTATAATGGCGCCCGCGGGCATGAAAGTAAAACTGGTGTTAAAGAACATGACACTGGGTCCTAATGATTATGTAATGTTCCGCGATGGAGTACGTGACGATAGCCCATTGATCGCCAAATATGCTTACTGTGCATCGGGTGAGATTCGGCTCTATTCTACAGATCAATATCTTCTCGTGAACTTCGTCTCGGATTCAAGTAAACCTGGTAACGGCTTCCAACTGGATTACGAGACTGTCGATTCAAGTAAGGAGACTAAACGAATTCGTTATATTATATATTTTATTCCCCTTCAAATTGAAAACTTATGTTTGACTTGTGCAAGGCATCCATGCACGTATGTTCTCGCCATTCATCAGAAGTTTAATGTTCACTGTACGCGAATGAATTTCCAATAAAATGTTTTGGATGTCCGTTGTATGCGGCCCTTAGCAACAAATAATCGAATTCAGTAAAACGAATTTCGAAATGACGATTCTATAAAACACAAATTTTCGTTTAACCGTAAGTTTTAAACGATTATGTACTATAACTCACACAAACTTAGAACTGAATCTATACTGAGCACGGATTAAAATTGGGATGTACGTTAAAGACCAAAACATGACAATATCTCCGAGTCTTTCAGATCAATTTGATTTTTGCACTCTACATTTGTTCGTTTCTCTCGCGAGATCGTTTACGGTATTATTAAACTATTTTTTCCTCTTTCAGGTAAAGTTCGCTGTTCGCAGGACAAAGGTGAGATTAGCTAAACAATCAGTACATTCGTAGAATTGAATTTTAATTCATTTCTTCCCATGTATTCAGATCAGACCTTCACTGATACGAATTTTTGGATTATGCTCGTTGTAAGAATACACCAGCTACGCTGTCTTTGTAACACACTAAAAGAAAGAAAATATAAAGTAGTTATCGTTTTCTTCCTCTCCCTGGTTATCTACAACTTAGGTAACTCTTTAACTTGTAGATAAAAATGTATTGTTTCTTGATCCTTATTTTGTGAATACTTAACATTTTCCTCACGATGCTGGACTGTAATGCGAGTAAACAAAATCGGAACTTTCAGTAGCAAGTATTTAGTTCAGGGTGATATTGTGGCTTTATCTGTAATTTCAGCGATCTTTAATGTAATCAAGCCAACAACAAAATGGAGTTTTCGAAAATAACGATTATTTGAAGCAATTTTTTTTGCTGCCTTGAACAAAAATTTGGGAGGAATATATTGATTCACCTCAATTTTCAGTTCTCCTATGTGGTTTGAAAAATCGGGATACCACTCTACATCAAAGCTATTGTTTTCTCTGTTTCTCTATACATTTTAGATATTTGTTCACTTAGTAGTGATATTAAAAGCTTGCCTGGAAACATACGCAGCCCTGGATTACCGAAAAGTCCATCTGGGAACTCGGGCTGCCGTTGGAATCTCGATTTCCCAGTTGGCTACAAAACGTTGGTCGAATTTTCCTGGTTTGGAATGGCAGGGAAAGGAAGTCAAAGGTGATATGAAACTTAGAACAGTTATAAAGAAGGAATCCGCCACAAGTTCGAGTAACAAGTGGACAAAAACTTTGTATCAAGATTACATCTTATTGCAAACGTCTGTGCGACTGTCTTAAGTATCTTCTCAAACGAAATAATTTCTAACAACACCAGATGTCGAAACCAATGCTGAAGTTCCTATGCCGAACACTTGAAAGTATTGGTGAAATGAAACTGATGATCAATTTTTGTGTTTGAATAATAGAGCAATTTCGATATATTAAAATTCAGTCTAAAGCAATAAACCTCAGCATGAGGCTCTGGGGAATAAACCCCATAAATTCTGTATTTACTCCCCGGAGCCTCGTGCTGAGGTCTGTTGTTTTAGGCTGAATTTTAATATATCGAAATTGGTCTATTTTTCTGAACTTTGGAATTTATTTTCTCGACCTCCTATGGGAAATTGTTTTGGTGTTATCCCTGGCAACTGCTTATATCTTTAGCTTTTAGAAAATGCAAAAAGACTGTCATATACTTAAAGTTTTTCTGGTACAAGGTTTTTGTCCATTTAAAACTGAAATAGCTCTATTTCGTATCGGATTTCGTCATAACGTTTTTCATTGTAGCAATCAGAATCATCGCCAACTTCAGGTGATATATCAAACTCGAGACAGTATTTCATCACCTTTCCAAACATGGAAAAGAGAGTTGAATTAACGGAGTACAGCGGAGGTTTTGGACGAATTTGGAGGGTGTTGGTGATGTGGTGAAACACTTTCGCTATAGTTTTGTGAATTTTTTAAACCGAGAGCGAGAATGCTAAGTGGGAACACATTTCCTAGCCTGCGAGCAGGCTCACTTGAGTCGCGCGCGAGCGGCGAAGAGCAAATCGATCCGGCGGGTAGGAGTCTGGTGAAGAGGCGCCAAGAAAGTAAGCCTGCCTTGATCTCTGTATTTTTTTCATTTCTGCTTCGGCTGAACAAAGTGAAATACCATTGGTCGAAATGCGGGAAAGGCGATAAAACTGTCAATCTATTATGTTTTATGAGGAGCGATTAGATCCCCACGGAGTCGGTAATTTACCGTACGTTCTCACAGTAAAAAATAAGTCGTCCACATTTGGAGTCAGAAGAGAAACATCTGCAGAGATCAGACCAGACTCACTTTCTCGTCTCGCGTCTTCGCCGCTCAATTTCGCGCTCGCGGTTTCGCTGCGCGCGCTTGTGCTCCAACGTGAGCCTGCTCGCAGGCTACACATTTTCAAGCAAAGTCACAGCTATGGGAGAGATTTGTCTAATGACTTCATAAATGTCCCTGTGTGAACATCTATAGAGAGTTATCGAAAGAATCAGTTACAAGGCTTTGCGTTCTTGAAATGCGACTAAAGAACAAAACAACGTACTTAGTTAGCTCTTTCAAATATTTAGTTCTATTTCTCTTTTTTCCTTCTGCTATCGACAAGTCCGATTGGAAATGTTGACTTCTTAGATAAGTAATGCTAATGTTACTTATAATTAAATTTAAATTGTTCCCAAAGCGACTTTGCCATATTTTCAGCCACTGTGTCAATGATTATGTTACCCTTGGTATGGATGGCGAGGAACAATCAAACACATACTGTGGTTGCAAGCTACCTTCAAAGCGACTTTACGACCGTGAAAAGGTCTTTGTGACCTTTAACAACTCCCAAGCAGCAAACCAAGCTGGATTCCTGCTTCATTACCGAGCCGTTGGTAAGAAATGTGTTTAAAGTTTGTGATATCTTAATGGTAATGGCCGACACTGAACGGGAAATCCACAAATCCACTAGGTCTTCGTTTGAAAGATTTAAAACGCTCCGCCAAGAGAGAATAATGAAGAATAACAAAGTGTATTAATGTCAACATAGGTCTCAGAGTGGCTCAGTAACACAACTGAACTAATTTTACTTTATTCTTTTACTTGTGACAGCCGCTGATGAATGCACAGACGGAGTTGATTCTTGTGAAATAAAAATGAACCCTGTGGGAATGAACAAAGATGGAGATGTGTGTTACGGTAAGTAACGAATTGATACAATTGCTGCGAGAGTTGTTGTATCTTCCACTTCGATCGAGTGCAGAGCTGGCGGTTATCAAAATCAATTTTTTAGTGACCAAAATTGTGCGATGACGACATGGAAACCTTTCAGGCATTCTTTTATCCTATTAATTGCATCAAATTTGTATAATAGCAAAGTATAAAAAGAGACTACTGACCACTAGTTCACCTGATTTGAAGGGTAATACAGTCGCACCTCCCCACAACCAGCCCCCACCCACCTTTGGCGCAGTGGAAAATGGCCGTTGTAGAGAGGTGACCGTTAAGTTCTACGGTATCTCCTATTCGACGTTGTCACCCAATCCATTTGCTCTAGTCCCTTGTTCCTGTTTCTTGTTCAAAAGGAGAAAAATTAAACCATAACTGTCTCTACCGCAGTGTAGAGACCGAGGTGTCTAAAATTTGCTGGAGAATAAAGCAGTTCTGCAAAACTAATGACAATAGTTCTGGTAATTACCTCGTTGTCTTTGGCCTAATTCAGAGTCTACGAAGCCCACTACAACTTCACCGCCACAGACAACTGCAACAGCAGCAAAAACCAAGCAAGGTAGTTGTTTAGTGTGATTTAACCACTATAACATATGCGACCAACACCTCTCTGGTACTTAAGCAAGCCAATCGGCTCAGTTCTAAAAGTTCAGCCATCTAAAACGAACAGAGTACTGAAATGGGCTTAGCATTAGGTATATACGATATTGCGTTTATTGCAATTCTTAAATACAGGCTGAAATTAGCTTATCTACTTAAAGAAGATATTTACTCAGCAAAAGCACCCGCCATTATTTTCCGACAGATGCTTCGCCTTCTTCGATATCTAAAACCACTTGACATGTTATTTCCTGTGCTCTCAGCAGATGACTTCGACGTGGACGTTAAATGCGATACGAATAAGATAAATGTCGTATTGCACATCAAGAGCCCTCTACACCACGACCCCGAAAGCGTTCACCTTAACGACGTCTCTTGCAAGCCATACTTCCAAAACGACAGTCATATATTTATCAAATCGACTCTAGACGCATGCGGAATGACATGGAATCTTTCAGCTGACGGCGAGATGATCGTATACAGCAACGCCATAACTGCTCTTGTACGCACTCAAAAGACACTGGGTTTGCACGCCACGCGAGATCACCAAGCAGTGTTCGAGTTTCAGTGCCGTTACAAAAGAAAGGCGGTTTTATCGGTGGTATCATTCGACCCGTCCAAAATATTTGTCGTCACTGATATAGGTTAGTGAGGAATGTTAAAATATTTTGCGTGTAAACAATGGCAAACAATATAGAGAATGTTCAAGTCTGAGATTAAGGACACGCTGAAGACTTTAAGCAGTTCTTAGCTTTGGTTTTTTTTTTTGTCACAATACATATTAAATTTCTTCTTTTCGCAATTTCTGTACCAGTGTTTAGCTTCATCTTTTGGTTTGTCGGTCTGTCTGTCTGTCTGTCGTCTGTCCGTCTCTTTGTGCGCCTGCTTGATCGTTTAACTTTATAAAATGTGCTTTCTTTCGAATTATTTAGATTTGTGTATTTGATTTCTAGTGTCTAAACATCGTGAAACGACAGGTTTTAATATGTCGACGATTCTAAGCCACCCTATCATACGATTGGACGTTATAGCGGAGCTCCGGCGGCCCGAAGGGCCGCCAAGCGGTAAGCGCCAAGCGCCAAGTTAACGTGTGAGAAATTAACTTCCGGCTGTTTTCTGTCTGCTAATTAACTTTTACAAGAACGTCGCATAGTTTTATATTAGCGAAGCTCCAGCGGCCCGAAGGGCCGCTAAAGGGAGCCCCATACTCATATAGGAAAGAAAAGGAAACCCATGAGTTGATTTTCTCATGGTTATCACGGCTAACGGTATTGCTCGTGGGCGCGTACGCACGACGGCGACGACGACGACGACGACGGAGTCGCGCAAAATGGCCATACTCCAAATAATAGGTTGAAAGAGACATGCAGCCTTGGTTTACCGTGTACTTAATTTGGCTCTGAACTACCCGGCCCAGGAACTACGTATTTAGGCTGGCCTAAATATATATATTTCCAGCTGTTAATATTGCAACCGTTTTTCGTTTTATCCTTTTCAGAGGCGTTTGGAAACTTCACGTTTGAGATGAACATGTTCAAAAGCGAAAACTTCAATGAGTATTACACGGAGTACCCAGTTGGACCAATAGACATCGGAACAGATATTTTCCTTCAGGTTTCAGTGACATCCAGGGATGCAGGACTTGTTGTGTTTGTGGATGAGTGTAAAGCCACTCCAACATCTGAATATCATGATCAGATGCAGTTCATCTTTTTAGAGGATGGGTTAGTGACAATTATGTAATATATCAAACACGAAAGACCGTGTTTGACCAAATTTCCAAACACCGAGATGAGAGTTAAAATACGACGCGCAGTGGAGTTCTCTGTGTCTGGAAATGTGGTCTATCACGGTCTTGAGTGTTGGATTTACCTTTTCAATCGAAACTAAAACTGAGGAAAAAACAGAAAAAAATCGTAAAAATCTAGGCTAATTAACATCAGATATCCAAAACTGTCTGCATTGAAATGTTTATATGTACATAACGCATTGTTTCTTTACTTATTGATTGATTTATAACTTCAATTCTATTTATGCAGGTGTGCAAAAGACAACGCCCTTCGTTTTAACTACACCTTGTCGCCTGTTCAGCGTTTGATTTTGAGCGCGTTTCGTTTCAACGCTGTCAAGTCGAAAGAAATCTTCCTTCATTGTCTGGTAAAGGCTTGTCTTCGTTCAGACCAATCGTCTCCTTGTGCCGAGGGATGTCCATTTAGCAAAAGAAAAAAGCGAGAATCAGAAAACGAGATTGAACGATTTTTGGCTCTTGGACCAATAATTGTTTCGTCTAATCAACCCAGTGAGATTACAGGTATGGCCTCAGTGATCTCTCTTGCAATAGAATGCGAGCAGTCTCTCTTTTGCTCGAAAGAACGCAAGCCAACAGAGGCGAGCGTCGATGCCACGAATAGCGCGGGCATGGGAAGACGAGCGAAAAGAGACTCGGAGACCTTTTTTCGCTCTTCTTCCGACGTCTGCGTTACTTGCTTGAATTGAAGCTCGCAGTTTCGCCTCTGCTCGTTCGTTTGCGTTCTTCCTTCGCGGATCTCCAAGCAAAAGAGACTGCTCGCAATCTACCCTAGCAATTGTTTCACATGTATATTCTTATTAGTTTTCCTAGTCTCCCTTCCTTATTACCTTGCAGAGTCCTTGACACCAAAAGAGAGCACCGCTGTAATTGGTGTCGTGGCAGGACTACTTGGGTTCGTCGCGTTGTTACTCTTGGCAGCTCTTGTGGCCGTTATTTACAAGCGTCGTAAGAAACCTGACGTTACTGGGGCCGTTACTCTACCTCTTGTGCGTGACAATGTGCCGGGTCCTGACTGAGAGCTTTGCATCAAATTTGTTACTTTTGTAGAAGAAACCCAAGGTGGTTGGTCACAAAAGTCAAGGCTTGGTCCTCTCAGGAAAACATCATTGCTGTAAACTAAGTTACTATCGGGCAAAAAAGTCTCGATTTATCGGCGCTTACAGGGATAGCTAGGCGGAGACGGCGTAACGGTTACCACCCTAGCCTCTAGTCAGGCTGGTCTGTGTTCTTGAGAAGGACACTTAACTCTCACAGTGCCTCTCTTCACCCAGGTGTAAAAATGGGTTCAATGAACCGTTCGAACCTGACAGAATACTAGGGCGAGGGAGGAACTGGACTAGCATCCCCCAAGGAGAGTATCAATACTCCTTCCCCTAGTTGCTTAATGTTACTGGGATCTAAGATAAGCTCCGGCGTTGTCCGGTAAAGGCATGGGCTAACGGCTTGGGCTCAAACGCGACCCAACTTAGAAGGATAGTTAATTTTGGATGTTAATATTGCACAATTAAATGCTCTACCTAACCCCACTCAGTGAAGTATGAATAATGCACAAAACGAGTACACGCGATATTCGCAAGTTGTATGAAAACCACTAACGACATGCAAATCAAAACACCGTTCAGGGTCTGGATACAAGTAAAATGAAACTGTCGCGTAATAAAACTGATATTGAAAACTCAAGTGTGTAGTGCCGCTGTTTATTATATGGTAAGGTGCTCCGAGCATTCTGATTGGATCTTCCTTGCATGGTCGGGATTCAGTGCTTTGAAACTTTGGACAATATCTGTTCCTCAAAGCTCACTGTTTTCCTCGAACTAAGCTTTCGGGAAAGTGTTCGCTTCTGGAAACAGATAATGTCCGCGGATAAATATCTCGGCAGATTTTCGCGCCAAATGGAGGCTATTGTATATACATACAGTCCAACCCCTATTAAGCGGCCACCCCTATTAGGCGGCCAGTAATCAAAGTCCCGATGGGGGCTTTTCTACTGTTTCTACCTCTGCTAAGCGGCCACTATCCATTTCTCCGAGGGTGGCCGTTTAATAGGGGTTGAACTGTACTTACAATAACCTGTAAAGTTCCGTACAACAGCAGTTTACGATGCCGTAGTCGACAATTTGTTGTATATTTCTCTAACAAAAAAATTTCGATCGTGATTGGTTCTCGGTGTACCTATTTGGCACGTAATTGGCGCGCGATCTAGTGGATGTCCAATTACAACTTTTTGTAATTGGGTACCTGTACTTGGATAGCTACACCAATTGCACGTTAATTATGTGCGCTTTATAGCTTCCTCGTAAATGTTTCCTACTTTTTTTTTAACTTATTTAAAGCAATACTGACTTTTTCGTGCCAAAGTTCTTCAAATTACCCGCGCGAATATTCCTTGATTTTGTACTCCACTCAGTCCAATTATTATTACTAATAAAACAATTAATTATGATCCTGTTCAATATGGGCCCGAAGTTTCAACTCGGCATGAGGCTGACGTCTAGATCGGGTAATTATCGGACGATACTTCTTGCTATTTCGCTTGTAATTGCTCGTCGAGTGAGAAATCACAGCTTATTTTACACGTGGTACTGACGTCACTGCAAAACTTCCTGTTGATCCACGAGATACCAAAATATTTATAAGAAGAAACTTCGGTATTGGAAATTTCCCGTCTCACTTCTGATCCTGGTAAACGTATTGGTTTCTGTAAGTACATTTGTGTTTACATTTGGTGACGGTAATTTCCACTATGATTCGCTAATCTTATTTTCTATCACCAATAGGGTAATTTTTTTTCTTCAAATACCTTATTACATTCGATAATGTCCGTTAGTGCAACAGTGTTTCCAAAGTCTCAATAACTAGCAATTTCCAACGCTCTACTAATATCGAATATGAATTTTTCAACGTTCAAATACACAAACAAAAAACTTCGCTAACTTTAACTTAGCCTGCAAGGAAAAGAATTCAGTCCACTCAGAATTCCGACTAATTTATGTGAAGGAATTTAGCCTCTTGAACACAATTTTAAATATTGAGACTGAAAGCCCAATTAACACGTTAACTCTGTTCACACTTTTTTCAAACTAAAACCTCATCAAAAACGTTTCGACAAAGCACTAATGAGGTTGGTCCAGAGGCTGTCCTTGTTAGAAAAACTGGAAGTTTTTCAAAATCCAGAAGAAACCTTTTCTGCAGATAGAAATATTGTGACAAATGTCCCTGTAGAGGCCAATATCGTAAAGTGCGACGCCAAACAAATAATAGCTTTCGATCATAAGCTTAATCGTGTAATTATGACAGCTAAACCACATTTGCAAAGGCGTTTTACCGATAAGGCATTTTACCGTAAAATGTGCGAAACCAATCCGGAGCAGGTGAACAATATAAAGACCTACACAACTGGATACTTTGAGAAAACATCTCGAAACTACAGTTGATGTTCGTAGCTTTAAACTACATGCCTAAGGCTTTCATGGTAACAAAATGGTAACAAAAAGGGGAAACTCTACCTGCCAGAGAGCAGATGTAGTATAGCAGGTTTGTGAAATATTATGGAGCTTTTTTTTTTTCTTGTAATGTTCATGCTACCTCTGTCTTTCAATCTGACACTAACTTCGTTAACGAACTTCTCCCCCGTTCCGAACTCGTGCGTTTCAGTTTCACGGCTTCAACAGAAACCCCTATGGGATTCTGCTGGTTATAAATAGTCAATGTTTTTTCCAAATAACTAACTAAATAGATAAATAAATATATAAAAATTCGTTTTTGTTTATTTAAAGCGCGACAGCAGCCTAAGTCCGCTAATACTTAGACAGAACGTTAGGTAAGCACCGGGACTTTTTAGAAAATGAACATAACAATCCATGTTTCATGTCCGTTCGCGCAATCTATTGATTTTTCTGTCTTTTCCCATCCATAATATTGATTGTTGCAGGACCTCGGTCAGGATGGACGTGGAACAGAGCTCCTACGAAGGTTTCCTTTCGGAACCCTCCAGTGGCGATGAAGGCGGGTGGGACACGGACTTGGAAGAGTCGAGTTCAGCAACAACACAAGATGCTGCACCGCAACAGATGTACTTTACAGCTTGCACTCAGCTCGGAATACCACCGGCATCAAAATTCATCAAGCAAATGACCACCAGTAAGGTCGACCTTCGACACTATGGTCTCCTTGACCAGGGAGTAAGGGCCATTTCGTACGCGCTAAAACGGAACATAACAGTGGACACGTTGAATCTCCATGACAATGGAATTACCGAGACGGGCGCTAGAGCTCTTGCAGACCTGCTGGAGGAGAATTGCTTCATAACCAGTCTTGACATATCTGGAAACAACATCGGCATCGATGGAAACCGTGCCATGGAACGAATGCTCAGAAACACATCCGCTCTCAAAGAGCTGAACGTTTCAAACATCTGTCGCAGTGCCGGACAGATGCTTCCTCTAATAGAAGGACTCAAAGAGAGTTTTTATTTGAAGGTATTAGATTTGAGTCACAACTGCCTTGACGATCAAGGAGCCGTTATGTTAGGCTCTATTTTGTCCGCAACGAGTTCACTAGAGTCTTTGAATGTCAGCTGGAACAACATATCTAGCAGAGGAGCTGTAGGTCTCATGGATGGGCTGCGAGAGGGCTACACTTTAAAGAAGCTTGATTTATCTTGGAATAGCCTAGCAGGAGCGGCTGCACAGGCCTTAACAGGCGCTCTCGAGGCCAACGAATCCCTAACGCATCTGGATGCTACCAACACTTCTATCGGCTTGCCCGAGGCAAAGATCATCGCTAAAGGCCTGAAAAGGAACAGGACTCTTCAAGTGCTACGCATCGGAAAGAACCCATTCTTGAGTCCGGGTGCTCACGCGTTGTTGAAGGCAATTCGGCGAAATCACGAGAATGCCCTTCAGGAACTTCATCTAGAGGGCATGGCTCTTGATAGAGACTGCCATAAGGAGCTCGAGGAGGTGCTTCAAAAGCGACCCGAGTTCAACTGTACCTGGCAAATAAGTATCCAAGGAGGTCAAGCCAGAGATGTTCGGAGCCCAGGGAAAGTTTCGCCATTGGATACCTTCGTGCGGTTCGCCCGCAACAGTGGTCTGCGAATGGTGGACTTGTTCAAGGTGCTTTCTGCCAAACGTGATACGATTGGACAAGACGCCTTCATCGCGGGGTTGAAAAAAATGAACATTGCAATGAGCAAGGCTGACCTGATGAAAGTTTTTGCCACTCTTGACGTCAATAATGATGGGAAGCTACAGTTTCAGGAATTCTCGAATCTAGTCGCCCTAAAGCTGCACGAACAAAACATCGAAAAGAAGAACTGCATAGCAGAAAATCACAAATAAAAAGATAAAGTAAATCCTTACGTTTTGAATATGGAGGAGGAAGTTATTGGTCTTCACGACAAATTCAGCAAACTTTAATTGTACAATTACTTATCGAATGTTTGCGTTTATCAGGCTAATTATGAGATACATGTATGCTAATGAGGAAACTCCTGTCAACAGAGATGTATTTCACAGATTTTGTGGTCAATAAAATTTTAAAATGCTTGTCAACTTCCTGGAAAACCACATAACGTTCTAATTTGTCGTGAAAAAACTTAGTTCTGATCTGAATCGAACTACCAGGTGACCTCTTACAGAAAATAATCCTGAACAACGATAACAACAAAAAAGCGTTCATATAGCTAAAAATTTATTTCGACAGGTACTGATATGTCTTCAGAAACTCAGATACGTGGCCAGGGACAATTACGAGATCGTACAGGCAATAAAGCAACACCATAAAAATTGTCATAAATATACATCGAGGTGACAGAAATAGACAAGTACATAGCTATATCCAAACCCACAAATGCATTCACGATTCCACAAATGACCCCATCTGACATATTTCAGTTACCTTTCCATCGATTTACTTGTATTGTCCCATAAATGCATAATTTTGTATCATTTGGGACTATACATGTATCACAAAAGAGTGAGTTTTGCCTCGTAGAAATCTTGTAGCATTGCTATATAATGAAGAACTTAGAAATATCACACAATGCTACGTTACAGAATTATAGAACTCTCTTTAGATCGGCAGTTCAAAGTTGACCTTCATTTTCACACTTCTGGCTAGTTCAACAATATTGGAAAGACGAACAACCTGAGGACAAAAAGACAAGAAAGCTTTTGAGCAATTTGTGTGTCGCGACTAAGCACAAGTTCTGCAAAACTTCATCACTGCTGAAAAACAAAACACTGAACGAAGACAATCCTCAGCATTTTTGTGGTTTTATTTAACAAGTAACCAAGGTTACATGAAATAGAAAGAAGAAGCCTTACCATCTCGGCAGCCTCTTCAAGATCATCACAAGCAATAATTCTTAACCCGCTGGCAGCAATAAGGGCCTTAGCGTCATCCACTCGTGTTCCTACAGCGTAAAAGCGAAGAAAATAGTACAAAGTCAACGATCTAAGTTCACGATCTAAGTTCAAATACTTACATGAAAGGCTTGCAGAGTTTTTAATCCTGATTTCCTACATTTGAACTTCAAAAGCTTAAAAGCAGTAGTCTTCTCTTTCTTTGGCAGCTTATGGAAATCAAGAGAGGATGAAGAGTATTCCTATGGTAGTCCCTCTCAACTTAATTTTATTTCTCCAATTTTGGAGATCTTAAGAGGGTATAGAAATAGCCAATCCTGTGACGAGGTTTTTGTTCATGTGGACAACCTAAACCGCTTTTACACGTATCCTCATCCTCCACGAAAACATCCACCAAACGCTTGTAGTAACATTACCCAAGCACGATCTGGGCACCATGTCTAAAAATAACTTTCGAGGGATTACCTTAGAAATGAGGCTTCCATGTATACGGAAGATGAACTCTCTCACCCTTCATCCTCTCTTGTAGAAGTAGAATCTCCTGACCATGAGGCATATTTAGTTCATTCACCGGAATATGACCATAAATATTTATTTAGTAATTTAATAATTAGCAAATACGGTCCACCAACTGGAATTGTTTACCTTGCAATCGAACAACAATAGGTATGCCGAGCTCAAGCTCTCTTGCTGCAGCAATAATTCCCTCTGCTATGATGTCACAGCGCATGATTCCGCCAAAGATGTTAACAAGAGTAGCATGGACCTGGTACCAAAGAAAAAGTTAAAAGGCTATTGAGGAGTCGCCTTTGGCTCTGTTACGAATTATGCCAGGTTTGGGTGTTGAGTCTTTCATTTAAAGGAGCTACGTCATGGTTCGTGCATGTTGAAAAGTTAAGGCTAAATTTTTCAAGTTCGTCGTTTGCAATCTGTTTCAATCTTTTCCATCCTTGCTCCTTTATGGTTTACTATTTGGTGTTTTTCTATCTGCATTAGTAAACTACTATTTGCAGGTTTCCTTCAATTAAAAGGTAATTTTGTACATGGACAACATAGCTCAAAATACCGTGACCGGGCTTCTTTAAAAATGAGATTAACCTGTTACAAAAATAGATGCACAAGTAAAACTCATTTCCTGTAAGTGAGTCAGATCTACATGTACTGTACTTGCAAGACAAGCAAAGAAAGTCCATCAGAAGATGAATCCAAGACTTAGTATGTAGTTTAGGTTACTTAGTTTAGTTAAGAAGAATTAGTTGATCTTTTATCATTTTTATAATCTTTGCTGAAGGATTTACCAGGTGTAAATAAAGTTACCTTACCATTACAAGCCTGCAAATAATTTTTGTCTATAGGCAGGTCATTTGTCAGGACAAGGACCAGTTTTGACCTAACAAAAAGCCAGTCTGGTCGCACAAAAAAAATTGTTTGTCGTTAGAAATTAAAAAGAGACATTTGAGACATTTTGGTATTTTAGTGTAGACACTTCGCCAAAATATTGGTTGTAAATTCGAAAAGCTTATAAGTCAACTGGGTGTAAAATCGCTACTAGCACCAGCAAGGGGACCTTTACATTACTTCTGGTATTATTTCACCTGTTGAAAATTGACAAATTTACAAACGGTTATACCCCTAGTCACACAAGCGTTTCCAACGTAACAAGTTTTCCAAGACGTCTAAGGAAAACGGGAAAAGCGATGAAACAATCTCCCGCGTGGACATTCAGAGACTTGAAAANGGGTATGAGGGTATGAGGGTATGAGGGTATGAGGGTATGAGGGTATGAGGGTATGAGGGTATGAGGGTATGAGGGTATGAGGGTATGAGGGTATGAGGGTATGAGGGTATGAGGGTATGAGGGTATGAGGGTATGAGGGTATGAGGGTATGAGGGTATGAGGGTATGAGGGTATGAGGGTATGAGGGTATGAGGGTATGAGGGTATGAGGGTATGAGGGTATGAGGGTATGAGGGTATGAGGGTATGAGGGTATGAGGGTATGAGGGTATAAGGGTGTAAGGGTATAAGAGTATAAGAGGTATAAAGGGTATCACGGGTATAAGGGTATAGGGGGTACAAGGGTATAAGGGGTAGAAGGGTATACGGGTATAAGAAGTATAAGGGGTATCAGGGGTATAAGGGTATAAGAGCATAACGGATATAAGGGGTATAAGGGGTATAAGGAGTACAAGGGTATAAGGGTATAAGGGGTATGAGGGTATAAGGGGTATTCAACAAACTGACCTAATCTAAACAAACTGAGCTAACCACCTATTTCAATAGAAATAAATGAAAACAATAGTACTGCTTTTCTGGGATGCCGTGGGGTTAATTCACTCAAAACTGAAGTTACTTAGCTTCGTCTTAAATTCACCTATTGTTTTAGATACTCTAATACCAGTTGGAAGGCTATTCCACAACGCGGCACCGCTATAAGAGGAACTTTTACGAACATAATCGGTGCGAGTTTGAGGCAGAGCCAGTCTCATTTCGCTATTTCTTAATCTATAACTAGTTGTATCATTACGAAAGATGAATTTATTTGATAAATAATCAGGTGTCCCTCCAACATCATAATGGTTTCATAGGAAACTTCATTTCCTTCAAAACAGGTTAAGTGTACCTTCTTGTCCTCACTGATGATCTTGAAGGCTGCCATGACCTGCGCTATTGTAGCACCACCCCCAACATCCAGAAAGTTTGCTGGCTCACCACCATGCAACTTAATGATGTCCATGGTGGCCATGGCCAGGCCGGCACCATTCACTGGTCAACAAGAAGAGAACAGAAGCAGTCAGAGGGTTGATACACCGATGGATATAAGCAGCATACATGTACATATATCTTATTAGATGTTTTGGTGGGTAGTATCGCTGTGTATTTTTCGAGTTGTGCCGTATTTTGACGAGCCCGTGGGGCGAGTCGAAATACAAACAACGAGTAAAAATATAAAGCGATACTACACACCAAAACATCTAATAAGAGATTTATTATCCGACTGCTGAAGTCAATAAATTTATCAGTGAAAGAGGGAGACTGTGGCGGTGTAGCGGGCGTGCGCCGACCTGTTTTCTACTGTACAAATAAATGTACAATATCGCTGTATATTTGTACTATTTGGACGGTATTAGCTGCAGTTGGAAAATTAATTGCTATACACTTTTGCAGGTTCCCAGTGCTGTTATATTCACTTGAGATCTTTTAAGAGATGATAGTTGATTCAGGCCTCAGCCTCACCAGCTCATAGAAATCTTGAGCTCACGATGTAATTGTGTTGGCATAATTCCAGGTGGAATTTACTCCGATAACAGTTTCCAATTGAAGGGCCATAGGCACATCCGCCTTATGTCAAACTTTAGGTTATATTTTGCGTTATTTGCTCAGATGCCAAAAAAGCTCAAAACTGACAAGCTTATGTTCCACAACAAAGCAAAGAAGTTTGTCTCACTTCAAGTTTTGAAAGCAATAATTTTGTGTTCACTTCAAAAAAAAAAACGGCAAAATGTTTATTTCACATCAGTGCGGGACCTCAAAGATGCTTTTTTCACTTACAAAAACAGTAAAATGTTTGTTTCACAATTCTCACATTGTACGTTTTGCACTGACTGAACTGTCATTTGAACTTTGCAGTTGTGGTATGTGCACTAGCCAGATTTTTGGAAAATTTTGTAGTAGTCTAATTGTTTAAGTAAATACTCTAAAGGATCACAGCACAAACCTACAATTTTGTGTATTTTAAGCCTAAAATTAAGAATAATTTGCAAGTTCAGGAGCAACATGTGTGTGATCGTTGTCTATCAGCGAACAGAAAACGACAAAAGAACCAATCAGATTCATGGATTTCCAAAAGAACACAGCTGAGTGCTACTAAACATGGCAGTCATAAGACAAGGTCAAGAGTACTGTTACTTTTCTAGTTTCATACTAAAATAAACAACAGTGAACCGTACACTGTAGCTTACCTAGACATCCAATGCTGCCATCAAGACCGATATAGTTAAGATTTGCTCTTCCTGCCTCCACTTCTCTCGCATCCTCTTGTGACCAGTCCTTTAAGGTGAAGATTTCTGACTGTCGAAACTCTGCATTGTCATCAAAGAGCAACTTGGCATCCATGCATACAACTGGAAAAAGATTGGCACTTCAAGTTTTACTCAATAACTTAAATTTTGCAAACATACATCATGTAAATCAAATTCTGTGTCTGATGAACTACAGTCATACAGTGTGCATATTTACAGCAAACCACTCTCCAGACTTTCAAATTAGCCTGAGTCCAATATTTCCAAGGCACATGAAAAAATCATCTGTGCTCTACTTAACAATTTACAGTCAAACCCCTGGTTGCCACACCTCTTGTAAGCGACCAGTTTTCCAAAATACCAAAAGTTTCCAAGCCAAATCATTACGTTAATTTCGGAACCTCTTATAAGGGACCAACCTCTCGTAAGCAACCGCGATCACTTTTAGAGCTAAAACTTTAAGTACCAGGTTTTTCTCGAAAATTGACTTTTCACATATTAAATAAAGCATTTAAAACATGGGGTAAGTCTCTGCAGTTACCTTGTGCTCATGAGGCAAAATTTTGACCCAATAATTATGGTCTAAGCCCTTGGAAGTGACTACCTCCCGTAAGCTGCCACCAAGGCTTGACATCTTCGATGACTGCTTATGGAAGTTTGACTGTAGACAACAAGCCCAAGTTTTCATAGTCAATGAACCATAACCAAGTTCAAGTATACATTGTACCTACCTCTTCCTAGCAAATCTTCAGTCATGGGGTTTATTTCAATCAATGTTGCATCTCTTCCAATAAACAAGTCATAAAGACGGAGTATCCATTCACCAGCTTGGTCTGCACAGCTTTCACTGAAACCCATCCTCCTGGCAAACTCCACAGCATCAGATTTTGATAGACCTGAAAGAGTGATTGCATGTACATGCACCATGAATCCCCTATCATTAATGATTATCTCTTGCTAACTGAGTTCTAGGTCCGTAATGTGCGTTACAGACAAAAAAACACGCCCACCTCTTTTACCAACTAAGTTCTAGGTCCATACTGTGGGTTACAGTCAAAACACACACGTACCCTTCCCGCCCTTCAATTTAGGGCCCAATCCAAGCATGCAGGGTGTGGGCCATATATCAGAAATCCTTATAGTGTGGACCAAGAACACAAATGTTAGTAAGATATTTGTATTATCTCTACTGGGTGTCTGACAGAGGTCACACAGAAGAGCTTCAAAAGACTGAGGCACACGGTATGTCAAAAGCAAAACAAGTCAAATCAAAATTGCTACAAGTTTTTAGCATGAATCATGAATTAACAAACCGTTGATGATATCGACTCCCATTTTAACAATAGCTTCTGGAGAATCTTTGGCCACCTGTTCAATATCAACTCCTCCTTGCTGGCTGCCAACTAATACGGGACCCTGAATCAATAAAAATAGTTTGAATCTATTGCAAATTCTACATCTACATTTGTAGTCGAGCAGTTTTGAATTGAGCGTCAAAAAGTAATAATTGGGTTTGCAATACTATGATACACAATTAGGTTAAATAACTCGGAGCAGTTTTTCATCCAATCTGAAGTAAAAAAAAAGAACAATTGTGACTCACTTGCACAGGTTTTCCTTCATTTCACATCAGCTACATACATGTATAAAATACTTCAAGAATAATCAAGGCTTGATTGGTCCATTGGATTGTCTGTGTCCTTTGCGATTGGCTAGAGTGATTACTTAGGTTTTGGTTTTACGACACTCAATTGAAAACTGCTCTAATCTGCTGAGGGATTACCATATCATTGCAGATATATGTATTTAAAAAAAAAAAAATAAACATATAAAAGGAAATAAATGTAACTATATATAATAAAAAAAAGACAAAAAAGAGATGAGGCTGGCCCTACATGTATATTATGCCTCAAAACTTGGTTGGTCTATCACTTCAGCTGGTAGTGAGTTCCATTCAGGTCTAGCTCTTGCATAAAAGCTGAATTTGTAAGTGTTACTTGCACGGGTTATGTATGTAAATTGTAACTAGACTTGTAAGTGCATANTTTGATAGACCTGAAAGAGTGATTGCATGTACACGCACCATGAATCCCCTATCATTAATGATTATCTTTTACTAACTGAGTTCTAATAAAAGTAATAATTACTTCAAAAGACTGAGGCTCACTGTATGTCAAAAGCAAAACAAGTCAAATCAAAATTGCTACAAGTTTTTAGCATGAAATTAACAAACCGTTGATGATATCGACTCCCATTTTAACAATAGCTTCTGGAGAATCTTTGGCCACCTGTTCAATATCAACTCCTCCTTGCTGACTGCCAACTAATACGGGACCCTGAATCAATAAAAATAGTTTGAATCTATCGCAAATTCTACATCTACATTTTGTAGTTGAGCTGTTTTCAATTGAGTGTCAAAAAGTAATAATTAGGTTTGCAATACTATGATACACAATTGGCTTAAATAACTCGCAGCAGTTTTTCATCCAATCTGAAGTAAAAAAAAAGAACAATTGTGACTCACTTACACAGGTTTTCCTGCATTTCACATCAGCTACATGTATACATGTATAAAATACTTCAAGAATAATCAAGGCTTGTGTCCTTTGTGATTGGCTAGAGTGATTACTTTGGTTTTGGTTTTACGACACTCAATTGAAAACTGCTCTAATCTGCAGAGGGATTACCATATCACTGCAGATACCTGTATTTAAAAAAAATAATAAACATATGAGAGGAAATAAATGTAACTATATATAATAAAAAAAAGACAAAAAAGAGACGAGGCTGGCCCTACAGGTATATTATGACTCAAAACTTGGTTGGTCTATCACTTCAACAGGTAGTGAGTTACGTTCAGGTCTAGCTCTTGCATGAAAGCTGAATTTGTAAGTGTTACTTGTAGGGGTTAAGTATGTAAATTGTAACTAGACTTAGACCTAATTATTTGCGTGTCCATTTCCTCATACTTTGAAAGCACATGTATCGTATACATGTACAGGCACTTTGTCTGCCTTTATTTCATTCAGTGACAAAAATCATGACCTGTAAGTAATACGGTCAGTCCCACACATTGATGTACAACACGTGTTTACTTGTCACGTTTTGTTTATCTGGTCATTTATACCAGTGCACATCTGTAGCTTACTACAGTCTTACACTTTACACATCATTCTTCCAGTTAAATAAACAGTCAAGGGGGGTGGTACAAAGAATTGTTTTCACTGGACACTTCCCCACCCCAAAATCAGCCAATCAGAACTGTCAGTATAGGTAATCATACAGTTTCGAGTTCAATTTGGAATTAATTTGCACAAGTGAGTTTTTCAAAAAGCTGAAATTGCACGAGCTGCTTCGGCAAGTGCAATTTCAGCTCCTTGAAAAACTCACAAGTGCAAATTAATTCCAAACTGAACGAGAAATTCAGTATGATTACTTATTAATGATATACACATGAAAAAATTTGTGTGGAGGAAGTGCCGGAAGACCTTTCTTGAAGCCATTTTTTCTCATTCGAGAAAACTTTTTTCAAAGTTTCCGCACAAAATTTTCGTCATCATTTTACATAACATCATTGGCTTCGAAAATGTGTAATTTACACTGGTGTTACACTTTTTACACTGTGTTACACTTGAACTGCACTGCTCTCAGCCAACCAGAATCGAGTAATTTTTTCATGTATATTATATAAATGTACACATGTACATGTACATGAACTACACAATTGTGTACATGCATAAGTTAGTGCACATACTGCCCACATCTTCAGAATGGATGCCAACCAACAACCTACATGTGTGGGATGGCATAAACCAACAGAGTGGGTTTCAGAGGGAAGGACGAGATGGTGGTGACGGTNGTGATTAGACTTGTAAGTGCATAATTTATACATTCTCCCTAATTATTTGGGTGTCCATTTCCTCATACTTTGAAAGCACATGTATACATGTACAGGCACTTTGTCTGCCTTTATTTCATTCAGTGACAATGATCATGACCTGTAAGCAATACGGTCAGTCCCACACATTGATGCACAGCAGGTGTTTACTTGTCACCTTTTGTTTATCTGGTCATTCATCCCAGTGCACATCTGTAGCTTACTACAGTCTTACACTTTACACATCATTCTTCCAGCTAAATAAACAGTCAAAGGGGATGGTCCAAAGAATTGTTTTCACTGAATACTTCTCCACCCCAAAATCAGCCAATCAGTACTGTTAGTGTAAGTAATCATACAGTTTCGAGTTCAATTTGGGATTAATTTGCACAAGTGAGTTCTTCAAAAAGCTGAAATTGCATGAGCCGCTTCAGTGGGTGCAATTTCAGCTTTTTGAAAAACTTACAAGTGAAAATTAATTCCAAACTGAATGAGAAATTCAGTATGATTACTTATTAACAATATACACATGAAAAAATTTGCGTGGAGGAAGTGCCGGAAGACCTTTCTTGAAGCCATTTTTTCTCATTTGAGAAAACTTTTTTCAAAGCTTCCACACAAAATTTTCGTCATCATTTTACATAATATCGTTGGCTTAAAAAATTTCCTATTGTCTTTCAGTCAATCCTAATCCAGAATCACATTTTGTAATTTGCACTGGTGTTACACTTTTTGCTCTGTGTTACACTTGAACTGCACTGCTCCCAGCCAATCAGAATCTACTAATTTTTTCATGTATATTATTATACATGTACATGGACTGCACAGTTGTGTACATGCATATGTTCAGTGCACATACTGCCCACATCTTCAGAATGGATGCCAACCAACAACCTACATGTGTGGGATGGCATAAACCAACAGAGTGGGTTTCAGAGGGAAGGACGAGATGGTGGTGACGGTGATGGTGGTGGTGCTGCAGTGGTAGACTGAGAGAGACCTGGTGCAGAACCACAGAGCAGNTGCACAGCAGGTGTTTACTTGTCACCTTTTGTTTATCTGGTCATTCATCCCAGTGCACATCTGTAGCTTACTACAGTCTTACACTTTACACATCATTCTTCCAGCTAAATAAACAGTCAAGGGGGGTGGTCCAAAGAATTGTTTTCACTGAACACTTCCCCACCCCAAAATCAGCCAATCAGTACTGTTAGTATAGGTAATCATACGGTTTCGAGTTCAATTTGGAATTAATTTGCATGAGTGAGTTTTTCAAAAAGCTGAAATTGCATGAGCTGCTTCGGTGAGTGCAATTTCAGCTTTTTGAAAAACTCACAAGTGCGAATTAATTCCAAACTGAACGAGAAATTCAGTATGATTACTTATTAATAATATACACATGAAAAAATTTGCCAGGAGGAAGTGCCGGAAGACCTTTCTTGAAGCCATTTTTTCTCATTCAAGAAAACTTTTTTCAAAGTTTCTGCACAAAATTTTCATCACCATTTTACATAATATCATTGACTTAATTACTTTTTGCACTGGTGTTACACTTTTTGCACTGTGCTACACTTGAACTGTACTGCTCTCAGCCAATCAGAATCAAGTAATTTTTTCATGTATATTATTATACATGTACATGAACTGCACAATTGTGTACATGCATATGTTCAGTGCCCACATCTTCAGAATGGATGCCAACTGACAACCTACATGTACATGTGTGAGATGGCATAAACCAACAGAGTGGGTTTCACAGGGAAGGACGAGATGGTGGTGACAGTGATAATGGCGGTGCTGCAGTGGTAGACTGAGAGAGACCTGGTGCAGAACCACAGAGCAGGAAAGGGAACATTAGGGTTTGAGCCTTGGGGTGAGATGGGAGTGGTTACAAGTGACCAGGTGGCCTAGCATGGAGGAAAATCCAGCACATTTCTCCCCTTGGGGGCAAAAAGTTAAGGAAAGTCAAATCAGCGCAAAGCAAGTTGAAACTTGATGTCATCTTGGATTTTGTGCATGGAGTGGTTGTGGCCAATGGGTGGCCATGAGTCACCCACTCATGGTGCAAGACTGCAAGTATGTTATGTACTGTATATTTTGCATTTTGGTCTAAACACTGAAATGGTGATTTACAAAATATTATATTTCATTGTACACTGTGTAGAAACTTTTTTTTTTGGTTGTAACATACTCTATTATATCCAAGTGATTGCAGAGGTCTCTTCAAAATTCTATTACACTCTCGTCGTCATGTCTTTCACTGAACTTCTTGCAGACTGCTGGAATGGTTCTACATTCAGTCCACTGTCAGATCTTGATTTTACAACTGTTTGTTCAACAGACATACATAAAAAAATGTAAAGAAAATTTTGTTTCAAAGTAACATAGGTTACCCTGATTTTTTACCTTGAAGGCTCTCTCTAAAGCAATGGCAAAATAATATTCTCTTCTTGCATACAATCTCTCACAAATGTAAACCTGGAAAGCAACATGAATGCAAATTAGAGATTGATGCATTTTCTAAAACCAATAATTTTTAAAGAAAAACATTAATTTTCTTAACCTGCTTTAACTGGTCTTAAATACCTCATAAAGACAGTCTCCTTTCAGGTATAATTGCTGATTACTACACTAATCAAAACTATAACAAAATTCTCAAACGTGATTGGCTATCAGCAGCCCAATTTGAGCATTAATTGGACAGTGTACGCGTCATGCTTGTAATTGGACAGTACGCGTCATTTTGCGAGCGCTGTTGCGGTGCACTTTGTTGAGTAAACTACTGTGTTTTTCAGCATTCATAATGACGTTTAATCGTTCAGCGCTCAATCCATGATTTGTTTGTTTCTCAAATTTTGTCATAGTCTTGATTAATTGGTAACAGGGCTTCGCCTCGTCCAATTCAGTCTGTAATCATACTCATGATTAACAAATCAGACTCCCGCTTCGAGGTCGTCCAATTTTGTTAATCACTCGTATGATTACAGACTGAATTGGACTCCACTCAGTCCTACATGTACTACCATTATTAACTATTTATTTTATATATAAAATTATTGTAGCCAAACATAATTGTCAGTTGTAGTAATTTTGTTTTTATATTTGCAATGTTTATTTTCCCCAAAGATTTTAGTTTTTTAGCTACCCTGTAAATTCGAGTCAAAACAAAGTTACGTATGTAAACCTTACTCAGTTGAGTACAAAACACAAGTCCAACACCTGTAATAATTACGCAGTGAGTTACTTTTTCCAGGATAAAATCTAGGCAGTGTCTCCTGTTCCTTTACTGAGGAGATCTGATGGCTGTGTTCTTTAGCTCCACCCTAAGTTGTGGGGATATACACACTGGTGTACATGTACAGTGTATAATAGTATGCAGCCAGATGAGAAAATGCTGGTGGACCAAAAATGAAAAGCCAAAAGATGTGAAGAACATTTTTTTCACCCCAGCAGAAGCTCTTTTAAAAAACATGAACCTTCATCAAACTAATAAAATTGATAACCTACATCATTGCATATCCTTCCTTGTTCTCCTGTTTGCTTTGTGAAGAGCTTTTTACCAAGCATTCTAGATGCCATTTCTTTTGCTTCGTCAGGTCTGTGCAAAACAGTTTAATTAAAGCAAACAACTTACATGTAGCAGCAGGACAATGACATTAATGGCTGCTATAGTTACAAATGCGTCAAACTTGTTTGGTTTGAGAACCAGTGTGATAACCTTTGTTTTATGTCACTGTAATTAATAATAGATTATAAACAAAGAGGAAAACAGTACATGTTTAAACATTTAATTTAAACCAAAAACATTTTTAAACCAAGACACTGTCATGTCTGCAACAGGTGACTTAATAAACCTACTGGCCTTTGTAGATAGGTTCAACTGACAATTAGCAGAATTTTGACAGTATATGAAAAAGAACTTGTCACTATTTCTGTTACTGCCTGGTGTGTTCTTCAGGCTNACCTGGGTGGAGAGAGGCACTGTGAGAGTAAAGTGTCTTGCCCAAGAACACAACACAATGTCCCCGGCCAGGGCTCGAACCCGGACCGTTCAATCTGGAGACGAGCGCACATGAGGCCATCGCGCCTCCCATGTTGTGTACAGAGGTTATATGACCATGCATTTACGTGGCAGCAATAACAACTATTAGACTTGCCTAACATGTCTTAGGAAAGGCTGAGGGTAAGTTTTCTTAAAAGAGATAAGTTAAGCTTTCAAGTTCATGAGGAATATATTGTAGCTAGGCTATGTACATGTATTTAAAGTGACCAGTGAACATGAGCAGCTTAGCCACATTCAATCTGAGCTTATCAATTAACAATAATTTTATTATCTCTGGATGTTCCAAATAGACCTTATCATGGTTTTCGATACCATCTTGACGAGTAGGCAAAGAGGTCAGAAATTACAGTGTTTGTATGGGAATCTGATGGCAAATAACTTTTTACAAAATTGAATTTTACACAGTTTGTGAATTGCAATGTTAAACTACTAGGTGGAAGATTGTATTCACCAAGTTTGAAGGAAGTAGCTTGGCTAGAAGATGCTCAGTTAATTTTTCAAATTTTCCATATATTTGTCTGTAAATTTGGCTGGGTAGATGCGGTTCGCAGGGAAAAAAAAATATCAAAAGGATAAGGTTTATCCCCCTCCAAGCATCTTGTGATGCATATAAGTACAGTTTTTGGTTGAGGACGATCAATGATTGGGGAAACTTACCCGCTGTGATAATTGCTTGCAATTCACTGACCCATTTCATGACANAATTTTCCATACATTTGTCTGTAAATTTGGCTGGGTAGATGCGGTTCGCAGGGAAAAAAACATATCAAAAGGATAAGGTTCATCCCCCTCCAAGCATCTTGTGATGCATATAAGTACAGTTTTTGGTTGAGGATGATCAATGATTGGGGAAACTTACCCGCTGTGATAATTGCTTGCAATTCACTGACCCATATCACGACATCTGTTTGACACAGTTTTTACTTCTTAGTTAGGAGTGCATGTACCCATGTATTTATTTATATATGTATTTATTATTATAACACTTTCGAACTTTTCCGACTAGGATTTTGCAAGTTATGGATGTAGATGTAGAACAAATGCACTTGTACAATATAAGCTTACATGTACGTACGTTACATGTAAGCTATAATTACTATAAATATCGAATACAACACAACGATATTTAAAATTGCAAGGTAATACGTACCTAGAGTACTAGCTATTTCATAAGCTTGTTCTGGCGTTTTAGCAACACCGCCCTGAGGTATAAGTATTCCTGCTTCTTGAAGAAGTTTCATACTGTAATGTTCGTGAATAGACAAGGGTCTGGTCTGCTGGTGTTGACAACCATTGACACCTAAAACCTGCAAGTCAGACCTCAGTCAACAGAAAAACAATTCCTATCCGGGAATATAAACTACCATTCTCACTTAAAAAGACAGTTGCTTACCCGTGGCAAAAGCCTTGCCGGAGATCTCAAGCCGCCAAGACATAGCTTGCGAAGCCCGTTCAAACCGGCAGCCATCTTTGTTTTCGTCTCGCCGGCCTAACACGCATGATGTCATGAATGAAACCGATGACTTACCGCCAAGCGGGCTCAGCTGGAACGCTTCGATCCAACATGGCGGCCCCTCGCCCTCTCAAAAGACCACGTTTGGGGCAGCCAGACGTGTATCCACAAGACAGTAAGCAAAGAGAGGTATAATAAAATAATTAGGTGAGGACTTGGAATTCATTATTGTGTACTCACTACGTTCATAATCTTCGCAGGATGAGCTCACTGAAGAAAATGTCAAGAAGGGGTTCAGCTACCAGCCGCTTCCTTTCAGTTCGGGATCAATCGAGGTTTGTTCTTATGCTCTACCGTGACTCTGCTGACTGTCGATTTACCGAAAGGAAACCTAAATGTCTTTTGTCTACTTTTTAGTATGGATCGGCTAAAGATATCATGTCCAATGTCCCTCTGTCAAAGGTATGTTCATGTGTAATCAACTTATTTATTGAGTTTATAGTTAAAGGTCACGCGTCAAGGAAATTGACTAGTTGTTCTTCTTCCTGTTCAGACCGGTCGACGATAAAATTTAACACGTTACCCGATCCGTTCAAGTAGACTTTTTTTTCCATATTCTTTTTTTTTTTTTTTACATACAGTTTGCACAAAGCTTCAATACCATTTTACTGGAAAAACAGAAACAAAACACCTACACGTCGCAGGATGGAAACAAGAGGAAAACACAGTCCGTTAAAGACAATTTTATGCCCGTAAGTATAGATAAGATCTTATGAAACGTTACAGGGTAAGTTCAGTGTGAAGGTATTAGACCTGATTAAACAAGTGCCACTCTTTTTCCCCTCTATAGGGGCATCTAAGTTTGACCGAAAGGAAAAAAATTGACCACTGATGGCAAACCACTACACTCACTAGCTGCACACATGTAGTATGGCAGATTTATCTTTACTCAGTGTTTTTGTTACACAAAATAGTAGCGGAGTGGAAAAAAAAAATTTTTTTTACATGAAAGGGTGGCCCTGGGGGGATTGCAATTTGTACTTGGTGATCAATGTTGAATCTGTTCTACTGGTAATAACGTTTACTTATCCTCTCAGTTACATGTTGTATTGTTTATGTATGTTCATCACATGAAAACATGAATTCTACTCTACATGTACAAGAACATCAACCCATTGGTTTTAATAAAACATTGAATGATGTATAAATTTTAATAACCTCTCACATCTTCTGTGGGGGGAGCAGTTGGTATATACAGACCCCATTCCTTAGACCCTCTCCCTGGATCACAACTTTGCAAGTGACAACCAACCAGCACTGTTGAGCTCTGAAGAGTATTCATGTCTTCAGTGAGGGAGTCAAATCTCAAATACTCTCAAGTAGCGAGGGTTGTCCAATATACATGCAATCTGATACGAATTGAAAAAACAATTTTACGATCTGTACAGTTTGACAGACAGCAAAAAATTGTTTGTGATCTTAGAATTGCATCTCATTAAGGGGACTTAAATCCTGCCTTGCCAGAGCCGATTATTTTCTTGAGACTGATATTCTTTGTATCCTTTACAAGATACGGACGGTAAATTATGTTTACGGTCTGTACAAACTGTATGGATTGAAAAACTGTTTCTTCCCTTCACTCAAATACTACAGTAACTGTAACATGTGACTCATATTCCCAGTCCCCTTAATGAAAAGTAATTTTCCTATCGTATACAGACTTAACAGTTCGTAAAGTTGTAGTTTTGTACTGTATCAGTTTGGGTATATTGGACATGACTGCAAGTAGGAAAACTGAGAGAATGCACGTGAAGTGAGCTACATGTATTTGCTACTTGTAAGTGTACTTGAGACAGGAGATGTGTTAACGTTTTACTTTTGGTGTGGCATTCAATAACAAGAATGAATGAAAAACACTTCGGGCTTGATACAATAAGTTGTGCTGTATTTCCTCCTTCTACAGGTGCACATTACTGCTCGTTCAAGAGCATTTATATCCTCATGGTTTCAGGATCTGGCTGGGAACAAACCACTCACAGTTTTGGCCAAGAAAGTGAGTCTGTATATTTACATCTTCAGCAGTGGAATTATGTAGTTAGCATTTTCATATAAATGTAGCTTCTACATTTACAATTAGTTTCTGTATACAATAGTTATACAAGTCACTGCAAGATTAGGTGACAATAATAGTTTTTTTTCATAGACATCTCTGTATGTGTAATGTCTACAGCATGTAAAATAATTTGCTTTAAAGTTATAGTATTTACTGGTGTATACCACTATACAAACTATATATTTATGATCAATAAACAGGTTAACTTCATGTACATGTATTATTGTATTAGGCATTGAATTTCCTGTTTGTGATCAGTTTGTTTATCTGCATTGATGTTTTAAGGCAAAAGTAAGTGCCAGTCACTTTAATTACATTGATGCTGTTGCAAAGGATAAAAACAGCCTAGTTGATTGCCCTTCATATTCACATATGAAAGCTTGACAGCAGTTCTGACATTGTTTCCTCGTCACTGCAGGTGCCAATATTCAACAAGAAAGAGGAGATATTTAGTAGTCTGTGTGATTACTCCATTCCAATGCTACGTGCTGCATGGTTTATAAAGATATCGTCAGCTTACAACACAGGTGTTAATGAATCCAAGGGCAAGAAAAGAATCATGGCAGACCCAGCATNGTCAATAACAAGAATGAATGAAAAACACTTCGGGCTTGATACAATAAGTTGTGCTGTATTTCCTCCTTCTACAGGTGCACATTACTGCTCGTTCAAGAGCATTTATATCCTCATGGTTTCAGGATCTGGCTGGGAACAAACCACTCACAGTTTTGGCCAAGAAAGTAAGTCTGTATATTTACATCTTCAGCAGTGGAATTATGTAGTTAGTATTTTCATATAAATTTAGCTTATACATGTACATTTACAATTAGTTTCTGTATGCAATATTTATAAAAGTCACTGCAAGATTAGGTGACAATAATAAAGTTTTTTTTCATAGACATCTCTGTATGTGCAATGTATACAGCATGTGAAATAATTTGCTTTAAAGTTACAGTATTTACTGGGGTATACCACTATACAAACTATATATTTATGATCAATAAACAGGTTAACTTCTTGTACATGTATTATTATATTAGGCATTGAATTTCCTGTTTGTGATCAGTTTGTTTATCTGCATTCATGTTTTAAGGCAAAAGTAAGTGCCATTCACTAATTACATTGATGCTGTTGCAAAGGGTAAAAACAGCCTAGTTGATTGCCCTTCATATTCACATATGAAGGCTTGACAGTAGTTCTGACATTGTTTCCTCGTCACTGCAGGTGCCAATATTCAACAAGAAAGAGGAGATATTTAGCAGTCTGTGTGATTATTCCATTCCAATGCTGCGTGCTGCATGGTTTATAAAAATATCGTCAGCTTACAACACAGGTGTTAATGAATCCAAGGGCAAGAAAAGAATCATGGCAGACCCAGCATCAGGTATTTACTTGTACCATTATTTTTTACTACTCATTTACTGTTTTGTAAATTACAATGAACATGTACATCTAGATGGTACATGTACCACTAGATGGGAGCAGGCTTGGTGCAGTGGTGGGAGGGCTCGCCTCCCACCAGTGTGTTCGGGGTTCAGTTTGATTCCAATCAGGTGCCATATGTGGGTAACTTGAGTTTGTTGTTGAATCTGATTGCCTTGCTCTGAGGGTTTTTCTCTGGCTACTTATGTTTCCTTGCTTCCACAAAACCAACATCTCCAAATTCCAATTTGATCAGGATGGAGGACCTGCATAAAAACCAGCTACAGCACTGTAGGGCTGATGTGGCTTTCTCTCTTCAAATATTATGATTAATTTTATTTTATTTGGTGTAGGGTTTGTTAGAGTAGTTTTCAGTTGTGTACCAGTGGTCAAAGCACATACAAATCTGGCTGCTCCTCATTGGTGCTAAAGTTAAACCTTACCTTGCATTGTAGAGTGGATTAGCCACATTGGATCAGTGTGGGACTCCTTATGATCAATGGTTAAGGCATTTTGTCAGGTCCAGCAGTAGACACTGTATGAACTGGCACTTAAACGTTCCAATTTCTCCTCCAGTGTGTGCCTATGGTACTTTGTTCTGATAAGAAGTGTAAGTATAAACAAATTGAATTGAATTGAATTCCAGACTGGACCCATGCCTTAACAAAATTCTTGAAGGACCAGTTAAACAAGATTGCAGATTTCTATCAGAGCCACTTTGGTGGAATAACTTCCTCCCAACATCAACAAAAGATGACACCTGAAATGGAGCAAGCACTCAAACAGTGGAACTACACTGTAAGACTCTCACATTGGCTTTACGAGGTGAGGGACTCTTCAACATTCAATAAACAATTATTGGATGAGGTTTTTGCATTCATGTGTATTTATTTACAACATCGTATAAATAAACAGCAGAACACGTTGCTCGTTCTCCTCAATTCTCTTGACTTTTGATCATCTAAAAAAATAACTTCGATCTTATTGCTATCTAGCTCTGTTAAAACCTTGCTGTCATCACTACAATCCACGCTATGACATTCTGCACTAAATTCCGCCATGTTTGCTTTTATCCGCGTCCCCCCAAATAATACCATAAGCGTTTGTGGCGCGACTTTGTTCCCAGGCTATTACTCTTTTCCAAAGTGAGCTATTCTTAAAAAGAACCTGGACACCACCCACCACCCTCAGTCCCTAACTCACCTGCACCCAGTGGGAGTACTACATGTATAAGTTACTTCATACTACTGACAGAAACTGGGAGACCTTGTTGGTAGCAGTATCTAGTTTTTTAAATTTGTTTTTATTTTTTGGACCAGAATTGTTTGTTGCACACATTCTAACTGCCACAATGATATAATAGGAAAATACATGGAAAAATATAATTGCACTGTACCAGATGTTTTCACATGGAATTTTAATTCTACATACATGCACAGCTCTATATAGCTCCATGGAGGCAGTGTGGCCGAGTGGTTAGGGCGGCGGACTTGAAATCCGGAGGTCGCGGGCTCAAGTCCCGCTCTGACCACTTAGCTGGAGTTGTTTCTCTGTAGACCCTTGTTCAGCTCCTCGGTCATGCTTGTAAATAGCCAACTGTTTTGCCTCCTGTTGGTTGGGATTTTGAAGCCTATTGTGTTTAGTTGATATAATTATTTGTTTCTTTCATTTGAAGTGGCATGCCTGTGATCTAGCTAGGTGTAGCTAAGCGCATTGACCACTATAAACAACAACATTTGAACATTTTTGAACATACATGTATGTACAATGTATATTTGCTGGTTCACTGAGATTGTACTCAATTTTTTACCCTCTGTTTACAGGAGAGCCTACTTGATAGGCAGGACTTCCTTCAATGGTTGTTAGATTTGTTGGATAAAAGCAAGAATGCTGATGACTTGCTGCTAAAATTCCTAATTCCTCTTCTGCTAAGGGTAAAGTGTGGTGTCCTTTCTGGTCAGACACATAGCTTACAATGTGGAAATACTTTACAATGTAGGATCCTGCCTATTTATCACAGTGACTCTAATTAAGGCTTTTAATAACTTGTGATTTTTTCCACTCTTCATCTCTTTAGTATGTAGACCAAATAGTTATGTCTCAAACTCTTGCCAGAAGCCTGGCCCAAGTGTGTTCCAAGAAGTTGACAACACTATACTCTGCAGCTGAACAGATGCAGTCTGAACAGCAGAGTCAAGGAACAAACAGTTCTACCAGGACGAGCAGTTCATCTATACCAAGCCCCGTACCAGCCATTACTTCAGAGAGGTACACATGTAGTACAGGGTACAAATGAAAAACGATATTATTTTTGAGCCTGCCCTTTGGGAAAGCTATTGTATACCATGATTAACTAGCCCACTAGCCCCCCGCCCACTTCCCCCAGAAAAGTTGTCTCTTACCGTGCTTGATCTATAATTTGTATTTCCTCAAAAATTTTCCATGAGAAACTTTACTTGCCACTAACCTTGGGGGTTAGTGGACACAACCTTCTCTGCACATGGACAGCTTGTCTTAGGACACACTAAGCATGCTGTGTTATCGTGTTGTGAGCGTGCTATCACCTTTATCCCTGTTTTCACTTGGAGGGTCACAATGTAGTCATCAGGGCAAACTAAGCATTAACAATGTGTTGCTTGATACATGTAGATCGATCGTGATCAATGATTTCCCCATTAACTACCTGACTTCCACTTCCACACTTGCTCAGCTACATGTACTTGTAATAATTTATCACATGTACATGTATGTAATATGCAGTTCAAATACAGAAGTAACCATGAAAAAGCACTGATTCAATACATTTATGGAATTACATTGGATGCTGGGTGGGTTATACTGAAAAAACTGTGTTTCAAACATGCTCTGCTTCAATTTTGTTATTATGTGTTATTTTGACAGCTCATCCTTGGCTGCTATCAGTCCTCAGTCACTTCCTGTCCTTTCGCAGTACAAGACATGCCCTCAGCACCATGCCCTTGTTCTAGCTCTGAGTTCAGTTCTGCAGACTATAGCCATCTGTTGTCCTGGTGCTCTCATCTGGAACTCCAATCCCTGTGGAGGTAGCTCCAGTAGCACAGCAAGCAGTGGAAATAACTCCAGTGGGGCAAACGCTGATGCTGGTACCAGTAAACCTGCTGTGTTGGGATCACCATTGGACAGGCTGCCTATTGCACCATCTGCAATGCCTCTTCCATCTCCTGGGAATGCACAAGGATCCTCGAATTCCGAGGTAGTTAAACTTTTGAGTGTAATGTACTTGTTACTGTTTTTAAGCAAACCCTCGAGTGGCCTCAATTAACTGGCAGTTAGTTAATTCCTAATTATGTTCATGTAGTTGGCATTGTGTCCATGGAGTAGCACGGCATGTTGTTAGTTCAGGCTATNACAAGTTCTATTGACTCACTTTACAGCAAAATATTTGCAGACTCAATAAAAACAGGAGGAGAGGTATTAACAGCACAATTTGATCTTTATTTTACTTGTTGACATGTAGCTTGTTTATGTAATAACTCATGCTTGGTGATTACACATAGTTGGATTCAAAATTTATAAATAAACAATGATGGTGACTTTTTAACTCATTAGTGAAATGAGAAATGTTCAACATGTCACAGGTTTAGAATGTCCATGAAAGACAAATATCTGTCCTTTAACAGCATTGAAACTCATGACCTCCTAGGCAACGTCCTCTCAACTATAAAGCTTAGATTGAAAACTGCTACTTTCTTACTTACTCTGCAAAGTTCTCCTATCAGGTTAATTAAGCTAGGATACATTGAATTCCATGTTTTTGTTATTATTTTGCATATTTATGTATTTTAAATTCAGGCATCTGCAACTGATGAGGCAATTGCTCTTCTCTTGTTCGAGTGGGCAGTCAGTAAATACCGTGTGGGAAAATTCCGGGCATTAGCTGTTGCTAAAATATTGCAACGGAGGCAAACAGAAATCCTTGATGAGGTAAGACACTGTACTGTCATTATGGGTGCATTTCTTTGGGAAAATCCAAGATTGGATTCTGAAAATCCAAAATGTATTTTTGTTTTTTTTAACTAAACAGATTAATCCAAGATCACTCAGATCATGGTGCATCAAAGGAACCAAAGAATCAACTCTGTAAAAATATTCTTTGATTCCTTTGATGTACATGTACCATAATGGGAGAGATCTTAGATTTATCTGTTTAGTAAGAAAAATTAATGCAAAATCTGTTGTTGGATGTGCTAGTCTAATCTTGGATTTTCACAAAGAATTGCACCCTATATCTCCACAACGCATCTGTTGAATTCATGCTTTAGTGACCAAGATCAAATTCTTGAGCAGTTTAGTTAATTTAAATAATATTCACTTGTTTGATTTATATATGTATATTTGCAAGGACTCGTGAACTNCCAATTGCATAAGACGCAAGTGAATGACAAAAACAAGATTGGACTCTAAAGTGCAAATAAAGACTCATTTTTTTTACAGTCTTTAGACCTAAAATGGTACAATGGCATAGTAGTGGAATGATACAATCATGTACATGTAAATACAACAGTACTACATGTATGTGTAATAATCCACACCACTAATACAGTGTTTTTTCTTCGTTAAATTTGTTTGTTTTGTTTCCTGATGGTAAAAATGCTTTTTCTACAGATGGTGGTTACCAACACAACAAGGCGCATCCAAGTTTTGCACAGTTAACCCTTCTGTTTGGAGAACTCATCAGAAATGAAGTGTTCTCCCACAATGCATACATGTGCAGCCTCATATCATGTGGAGATCTTCAACCCACTCCTCCTGTTTCCATCCCCTCTCCACCAAGGCCAGTAGTGCCAAGCATGGAACACGCTCCGGAAGCTGAGCCAATGGGCATTGAAGAGTGTGTACAGGAGGGGGATGCACCAGGGGGAATAGACATCCACAGTTTGGTATGTTTGATTTCATTTGTAAGTCTCTCCATATTTCAATCAACTGCATGTAGAGTGTGGAACATGTCCAAATAAATTGTTAAACATTTTTTCAATAATTAACTTTGTTAAATCTCTTTGAGTCCGTCAATAGATAGCAAAAGTAACAAGTAAATCATGAGGCCCTTATGGCTTTTATGTCTTAATGTGTTACACTTTCTAGAACAATATTTAATTTCCCTGAGGCCATTAACAGACAATCATAGAGGGTGTTAGTAATCTGTCCATTTTCTAAAGTTTGTGTCTGGTACATACAAAATTAATGTACATGTATAGCACGTCCAATCCACTTATCACAACTAAACTCATCTTGTTGCTCAGCTTACGGTGTATGTCCAGTTCAGACATTATGCATGCTTCACATTCTGCAATAATAATGTGTACAGCATTTGTGCAACTCATATAGTATCATGATTTGTATCTAGCAAGTGTATGCCAGAGTTGTGCACTGAGTAGCACAGCAAAGCTGGTTGGACTGTTGCCATACTAGACTTAATTCAAAACTTGGATTGAGATCTACATGTATGCTGTACCTGCTGTATGCATACAAGCATAGTGTACATGTATCAAGTACATGCTTTTGTTGTGTTTATTAATAATTATATTGCATCAAGTGGTGAAAACTATGTCAATGCCTTGTTTTGGCCATTTTTTGAGTCATCATGTAACACATCTATTAGAGGAAGAGGGGCTTTGCCCAACAACCCAGTTACAGCTGCAGAGACTACTGGACATCTGAAGAGGGCCTCATTGTTAATTTGCAGTCTGTTTCTTAGGGTTTTAACTGTTATTAACTTCAATACATACCTACAGACATGTCAGGAAGATGACGGCCGTAAGGACAGCAGCAGTGACAGTGAACTTAAGATCTCTCAACAGCTCCTGGATCAGGAGCTTCAAGTGCATCAAGAAAGACTCATACAGCTGCTTGATCAGGGTGACAATGAGATCTTTGTTGAGCAAGAAGCCCCGATATTGACTGCTGATCTTTCAGGTACATGTACACTGCATGTCTTTGTGTTGATACAGAGAAAATAAAATACTGATATTTATATATGATTACTGTGCCAATTCATTGTCTGCTGTGTTACAGGTAGCATTTTGATTAGCTTGTCTTGCCATTTTGCCATGACTCAAGTTATGTACAGATGAACATGTATTCCCTGGGATATTTTCTCCTTTTCCTTAGTTACCGTCATTCGAGAATTTTCATTGTTTTTCATTTATATTGAGAACATGGTAGTACATGTAGAGTACAGGAATCTGGCAAAAAACATTTACGTACAAATGGAACTGATCAAATGCAACTCATTTTCTTTTGTCACAAAATACCCTCAGTTTACAAAAATACATTCTGTTAAAGAAACAATTAAAAAGTTATAATTTCATAGTAACTAACACATTTACTATGATTGTATTGTTTGTTTCTCCAACAGCTGTTGGAAATGGTACCAAACTGGAGGCTAACTTGATAAATCCTGCTTTGCTGTCCAGTGATCAAAGAGACAATGCACTCATGGATTCATCGTGCAATCTTCCCAAAAAGTCACAACATGCCCAATATGCCCAGCATTTCCCCATCCCTGCTGACAACCTCTCGGCACATGAGAATAATCAGCGACTCATACTGTTGTATGGAGTGGGTAAGGGAAGAAGTCAAGCGATAGCAACAACCAAAGAAGTCACCAAGGCATTGTGTGCCATGCTGAATGATCTAGGAAGAGTGGATGACTCTGCACTCAGTGCTGATGCTGCGCAGAACAGTGAACACCTGGCTTTAAAAAAGGAAAGGGATGAGAAAAGAGCTGCACTTTACAAGTAAGTTACCTGTTGCTGTTAGAATAACATCAAACCAATTTGTAAGAATTAAGACTATTCACAGTAACTCATGGAAATGTTATTGGCTTTGACTGGAATGGTCACACAGGGGCAAGTCCAAAAGTGGACACCCTTGAGATGAGGAGCAGTGTCTGCTCAGAAGAGGTTTCGTTTATGCGATGTAGTATTAGCATTGTTTTTTATTTATTTATTTATTTATTTATTTTGTTAATTTTTATCTAATTTATGGGATGTAGTATTAGCATTGTTTGTGGCTAGGACTGTAGCAAAGTGACTGCCTGGAAGTATGGCTTAATGGTTTTTATCTGAGTGATCACACGCTAGGATTTCATCCAAAGGCCTAAATATTGTAGCAATTTAGAAAACCACCATGCACAGGATAATAAACAGTGCCACGAGAATGTACTGCCTAGTACACATTACTGTTCATTAATTCATTACCTAACATTAAAATGGTCTTAAAACTGAAAAGCCTGAATCACATTACATGTACATGACGCAAGGTTTGACTAAGAATGTGAAATTGTAAGGCAGTTCATCCACTCTGTCTCTAACTGATATAATAGCTGTGGCAGCAGATCTTTATACTGAAGAAGCAATCCCGCCGGCCAATCTCATCCAGGGTTTTATCTCTTGGATCTGGTGCTTATCGAGTTTGATGTTGGATCTTGTTTTATTCTGGGGATTCTTTCAGGTTCCTTTCTGCTTAAAAGCTTCTTTTTCGTATTCTAACAATAAGTTCAATGTGGAATGAGGGACTTTACTCATCTTGCCTGTACAAAGTTTGAAATAATATTATTGATTTATCAGTAGTACTTATTTAATTGGCATTACCGTCCCTTTTTTAGCAAATTCTCCAACTTGACTTGCTTTGACCAGTACCAAGCTGTAGCAAAGTGCGCCAACATTCTTCGTGACCAGAAGGCCAAACAAGCCAAGATGTTTGGTCTGGTTTTGCCAACCCCAACACTCAACCAACTAGAATTCCTGTATGACCTGTTTGAACTGTCTGGTGATGTTCACGGACTTCTTGATTTCGTGGCTTTTGTTCTGATGCCAAGTGAAGAGGACATCTCAACCACACAAGTCGCACTCGTCAAAACAGTTGTAGGGACATTACCAACCAAGTCTACCATCGTAGTGGCAATGCTGCGAAAATATCATGCCTGCCTGATGTTGCTGCCTGAGCACACTACTAGGATATTTAGAGGGTAGGATTTTATTTACACTTGGTCATTTTACTTGTAAAAGTTGTATTTGGCGTGATACTATTGTTATGTGCTGTCCATTCTTTGCATGTGACTCTTGATCCGTTAGAGTTCTTTACTACACAGTACAGTGTGAGCTGATGTCATCCTTTCCAGGTNGGATGATTAAATGATTAAACAAATCAATAAAAAATAAATAAATAAAAATAGAAATAAAATAAAATAAAGAAAAAAAAAACATGTATATGACACAGATCTGAAATTGAACCCGAACCACATCGGTGGAAAATGAGTACTCTCACCACTGCTCCATCCCTGCTCCTACCTCCGTGTGAATTATAACACACTCACCCAAAAAGAAAAGTCAGACCTTTTTTAATGTATGGTGTATGAGAGAACGTTTTCTACAATTTTTTGCAGATATTTTGTTCCTTGTCAGGTTCTTGTTCTTCTTTTGATTGTTCAGGTGGAAAATTAAACTCTGCAGTCATCTTAAGTTTGACGCTAATTCAATGTAGATATAATACTTTAGTGATGTGCTTGTACTCTAACTCTGTTGCCCTACACGTTTTTATTTACAGTCGAAGTATGCCGACATTTTCAGCACAGCCTTCACTAAGATCAAGCAGGCTGTGTGTTCAAGCACTACACCTTCAGCTTGCACCGAGTCCTATGATCAGAAATTTATGGCAGAGTACTTCCAGAACCCAAGGTAACAACAGCGCTTTGCATATTCATTGTACAATTATGTAGCTCTAGCGGAAATGTGGGTTCCAAGCATTCTGAAGCTCGCCATCTCCAACCCCATGTCTCATTGAAACTCCTCTAACGAGCACATCCTATAGCTCGAAGGACTTATCTGTTGAATACTCTAATAAGCTATAAAGGTCTCAAGATCTGTATGAGCATATGGTGCGTCTTTAGATATTCATAAATAAAAAAATTGATTGGTAAATGGCCAATCCGAATGGAGCTTGCTCTCAGGGATTTCTGCTTACCATTCACACAAACTGTTTACGAACCGGTTTCTCTGTGTAAATGGTAAACAACCGTTGTATCTTTAATGACGATTTGCTTTGTTACCTTCATGACCGCGAGAAGGTGTTGAAATTTGAAGTATTTTTTTTTAGTAATCTGACACAAGCGTTCCGTCAGCATATCTAAATTCCTACAACAGGTTATCCCTGTAAATACATATTCGAGCGTTTTCAACCATTCTGGATGAAACTTTTTCTTGACTGTATCTTCTCACAGGACTAAGAGGCTTGATGGCATCTGGGAATACCTTCACAACCATGAGAAACCATCAGATGTGTACAGCTTCGTGTGTAATGCCCTGATGAATGTCTGCAACTGTCAGAATAGTGAAAGGTGGATATCGAGGATTTCTTTAGAAATAAAATTCTGAAAAGTTTGACGAGATTCAATCATCTTGAAAACTAATTGTGATTCTTCGCATTACTTCGATGCTGAACGTTAGAGCACACTCAAAACACGCTAATACAGCATCCTTACCGTGTTCTAACGTCTCGTGAGCAGACATGTATTTAACACGGAAAACAAAGGAAGACGCCCTTGTTTTTTTTTTCGTTTTTTTTTTTGGAGAACCCGACTAGCTGTTTGCACATCACTTTTGTGTTTTAAAGGTTGCTCCAAGCAGGCAAACTCTCCTAGCTAGGTTCTCTTGCTTGGTTTTCACTCACAAAAGGTATGCCAAAAATAATTGAAATTTATTGCTCTTCATTTCTCTCCCACGTTATCCACAGGTTGTTTGATATCGGTGTTCTGTGTGCAGAGGTTACTGCCCATCATGGTAGGCTCAGTTCAGAGTGGCTTGGTGTTCTAAGGGCTTTGTGCTGCTCTTCTAACAGTTCATCAGGATTTGTGGACTTGCTTTTGGAAGTAGACGTGAGTTGATTTGATCACGTCGAATTAATGACTGAACATACAACTTCAGCAGAATGATAGTAAAAACGCCAACCATATTTTTCTGTTCTGCTATTTTTTATGGCAATCTCTAGGATACAGGGATGTGAGGACTACTGAATTGTTAGCAGGCACGCATTTGTCTTTTATTTTTATAACTTGATTTGAAAAATTATCAATTATTAACAGGTCGGGGATTTATCCATCCATGAGTCAGTGGCCACTTTCACAGCCTTGCTTATAGCCAGAAGTTGTTTCTCATTGGAGGATGTGATCTATCACGTGGCCCTGCCGTCACTTCTAGCCGCACTACCATCTGGTGAGTTACCACACACTATACTCCTGTTACAAACCATCGAAGCTTAGCTATGCCTCGTCGACTGTTCGTTTTAAGTAGAATTCTACTAGTATACCAGTGCAAATGCTGCAATCTGATTGGCTGAGCTACTCGTATACTATCAGCCATTAGAGTATATACATACATACATACTTAATTTGCAACTCCCCAAAGGGGCTTTTCAGTTACAAAANTTATTCTCACACTTGTGACATGTTCATGTAGCTAGACTATTTAAAATCTTACCTTTTGTGCCGCTCAAATTCTGATGATGACACCGAGGCAAGGGATGACACTACTGCAACTTCCGTTTTAAAGCCAAAATTTGGGATTTCATTCGAAAGTACTCGGGTTCACTTCCATACGCTATATACAAGGCGAATTTTACAACTACAAGAGCTCTATCAAGCAGAAACCTCCTTACAATTTAATGATTTGCTTATCCACTCCCATATTACACCAACATGTATTTCTTCTACGCAAGTGTCACTCCAGATCTAGAGGCGTTATTCATGGAAGGCGACGTCATGGATTTCATATAACAATGGAAATTATTTTTTGATTCCAGTATTTCAACTACATTCTTTCTTTAATGATCTGATCCGCAAAAAATGGAAAGCTTGCAGCATTACAGTAGATAATACCCTTGAAAGCTATTTCCAGATATAAAAATCATAATGGCAGCTACTCATTCATGTGCTTGGATCATCTCAGGAGAAACGACGTGCATTCAACTATATGAAGCTTAAACACACGAGTACATTACGCGATCTTGCTTTTTTCGTTCGCCACGATCTCGGTCGCGGCTTCGCCGCTCACAATCGCAGCTTCGCCAGGAAAACCAAAAAAACAAAACCCTCTGGCAACTAGGGTACTGGTATTAAAGATATTTCTAAAAACGACACTTAATTCATTCCTTAGCTTACCTGGTTATTTTTTGTTTCTCTTCTTTCCAGGAAGGACAGGTGAAGGCGGCTCTACCAGTACAAGTGATTCCACTCGGGATGACGCATTTCGAAGTCTATTTTCCAACAGGCTGGATGACTTTATGGACAGTACATCCAGCACTGGGGACATCTTTCCTCCTCCTTTAGCTTCCAGCAGATCAGGTCAGCTTACAACTCATTTATTCAATCGTATGCACGGGGCCATGTTGTGAGAGACATTGTGGGAGTTTCATCACCTAGAAAACAACGTGGGGGAAAATTAGTAGAGGTGTAATTCTCGAGCCCAGCACGTGTGTTTTTGTGAACCAACCTTGTGTGCTATTTTAAGTAACAAATTTGTCCTTGAATGCTATTTTGAGTAAAGTATTCGTCTTTGAGATTGGTATAATTAATTTCGGTAGCTATGGAGACCTCCAACACAAGTGCCTTTGCCGGTTTTGCATTGCAAGTGATCTGTCGCCAAGAGTGGGTGAGAGAGAGATGCCTTCAGGATCCACAAAAACTCTGCTCTCCTGAGCTACTACTGGATCCTGCAATATCTCCTAACCAGGTATAAATTCTCCTTATTGTGCCCTACACAATTCTTTGCATTTTTCTGAAAATTTGGTGATAAAGCTTTACATCAAGACAACAACCCCTGGGTTGATGATATGCATGTAACGACCCGTGTGTCCTTAATAGAACCACACGCGGGCTAATTTTCCGAAGAAAATGATGACGGATCAGTAACGTGAACAGTAGACTCTGAGTAGGCCCCTTATTTTTCTCAGGTTAAGTCGGGTGGGAGAGCATGCGCATGCGCATGCGAAAATCACCTGCACGAGGAGACGGGACCCTTATCTGAGCGTAGAAAAAAAAATGCATGTTGCTTCTCTCGTTCGAGATGACCATAGTTAATAGAGAGGAATGGTTATGAAACCCGAGGAATCTCTTTTTTTGTAGGTTTCTGTTCGCTTTTTTGACCTTGACCGTACGTAAAACACAATAGTTGTTTACTCCGTACTGAGGAACTAACCAGTAGAAACGTTTTGGTTACGTAATTCATGCATAGTGTATGAGCGCAAAACAACAGATTGTGCACGGTCGTGGACCTTCTTCCAACATAAATCTTGGCATCCTTATTTGCTCCTTTGATGTTTGCCGGGCTTCATAAGCAGTCCGCTCTGTTAACTATGAGATGACTAACCCTGAGAAACTATCACCTATCGGATCAACTAACCCTGAGAAACTATCACCTATCGGATCAACTAACCCTGAGAAACGTGGGAGTACTCGTAGTCTAACTATAGGATCTCTGTAGCTCAGGCATTGAACATCTCTCAGAGTCTCTGTGGCGCGACGGACGAAGACAGACTGAAGTTCGCTCAGGTTTTTTTACGTTCCTCCCTCAGGCGAGAAAGTTGCTGCATCTGATTTGTTATCCAGCCGGTGTCCCATCATCCATTGGGGGCCTCATTGCTAACAGCAATGATATGGAAACAGTGCATGAAGCTGCGAGCAGAATACTCCAGGTCAGTGGTCTAGACGTCAAATTTTCTTGGTTGTATGAGATAATTCCTGTTAATCTACAGTTGGACCCCGATAATTTGAACTCGGTTATTTCGAATTCCCCGTTGTTTTGAACTCAAAACCATTTCCCTTGGATTTTCCCTTCAGTCATTTACTATCGGCTCTTTCGAACTCCCGCTATTTCGAACTATTTTTCGTTTTTCTTGAGAGTTCGAAACAGCGGGTTTCAACTGTATGTCGGAAGTCATTTCTCTGTGATGTACAAGAATTACTAAATCGCCTTTAAATGGATTGAAATCTTAAAGCAATACAGTGAAACCCCGCCTTACGACCACCTCGTTATTATGGCCACTTTATTCTGGCCCGAAAAAAAGCTCAGTCAGTCATTTTCCTGTTTAAAAAACCCCTTTAATACGACCGATTTTCCATGGTCCGAAGGTGGTCTTATTAACGGGGTTCCACTGTAGTTCGTTGAAATGGAAAACTACCAGAGAGGTAACAACGCACCAAAAAGCTACAATAGTCATTGAGTAAGGCGGATTGGGAATGGGAAACTTGATTATTTAGACTAATATTTTCAAAGTGCGTCATCTGTGACTATCAAAAAGCTACAATAATAGTCATTGAGTGAGGCAGATTGGGAATGGGAAACTTGATTATTTAGACTGTTTTCAAAGTGCGTCATCTGCGACGAAAGCTGCGTATGTTTCTTCACCGCAACCTCAATAACTTAGCACCATGAGGTCGTTCATAACATTCAAATACCGATAACTTTCCTCTGAAAGAGTGCATGTATTAACATTTTCCGAAAACGTGGTGCGCTCCTTTCACGTTTTATGTTTGCTGTATCAGGGTGAGTTTTATTATGGTGCGATTATTGCGATTACTGTGAGCACATAATTTGTACGCTATGAGTGGGAGCTTCCCAAGGTTTTTCCTGTGAATATAAAGTCAGTTACAAGTNATCTATGCTCAACTTCTGCAGGAGGAGAAGATCTTTCCAATGATACCCAGATCAAGTGATCAGCCCAGTGGAGCCCGAGATATGCACAAAATTGC